CGTAAGACATGGTAGGAGCCAGTAGTCAGCAAACCAGATGAGACCAGGTCTTTGCTGACACGCCAAAGTGGCACGGAACTCGTCCACAAATCAAGTATCTTCTAAATTGCTGCCGTGCTTCGGGCTCATTTGCGCCAGTAGATGCAATCTCCCAAGCTCTAGTTTTCAAACACATCAGGTCTTTGATCGAACAACCTAATCGTATTCAGCCCAGCAGCAGGAACAGTATCAGTCATACGTACGTGAAGACAATCCTTGAGCTTTGTATGCGAACACGGATCGAGACGGCTGCAGGAACGCTCACGTCTCAGGACACGAGCACCGTCTTTCTTCCGCCCATCCGATCAGCTGCCGGCCATGGAAGTAGTGGATGAGACCCGCTTCATTACGACAAAGCCGAAGTTCAAATTTGCACGAAATCTCCGCGATGTGAAAGGATGCGGTTCGATAGGGTGGATGGTGGGGGACAGCTCTTCATGAGGATCTCATTTTACGAAAAGCTTCATTCCGGCACGATCCCAGCCCGTTGAACAAGCACCGAGCTCCTCCACTTGGTTTCAGCAGGGTGAGTGACTGACTCGCCTGAGAGAAGATGATCCGCTGACATCGCTGACATCGTAGGGCTGCGCACCAATAGTCCTTGATCTCTACGCAATATTATAGGTATTTGTGGGCTCAGCTGGAGAGCATCGGGAAGGTCGGCACTGGGTCAGTGCTCCTACCCGCGGGCCACTCCGTCGATACGACTCTATGAGTCATTGACCATATCCTGTCTCGTCACTTATGTAATCGAACATGGTGAATCTTTTGTGGTTGTATTAGTGAAGAGGCAATCATCAAAGAAGTGGGTCTCTGAAAGAGGTTGGTCTCTAACATCCACGACGTGCTAAGACCTGAAAGACTGATGCAACGAGAGCTAAGTAGGTACTCGTACTGAAGGTTGGAAATAATCGTGCCATGAAATTAAATTGCTATCTTGGTAAAACGAGGTAAGTGCGTGGCACGATTATATTATTCCACCCTGCTTGAGCGTTGAGCTTACCGCTCCTGAGCAGGCTTGTCGTGGTTCACGGACGAACCCACAGTATCGTCTCGACCCCCAAGCAGAATCAAATCATTCAAGAAGGGCAACTCCATGCCCAGCTGTGTGTGTCTGTTTTCCACTCAGAGTGGGGCTTAAACGCCATTTGAGCTTAACCCTCTAGCTGGGAGGCCTCCCCACTCAGCTACCCAAGTACCTAGTCAGCAAAGAGGAATGGTATGAGTTCGGCATTCGGCATCCACACAGTGTTGTAACATGTGGTGGCTCAGTGGTGTTGACTGATCCCAAGCCTGATTCCGGGAAACCCGGACAAGAAGTCCCTGGAAATCCCACAGGGTTCAAAGGGGGGCCAAAGCTCAGGCTTTAAGCGTTGTCATTTTGGGGGCGCTTAGCCACCAAGCCTAAATTTGGGGATCGCCCGGTCCAGGTTCCCGGGCCCCGGACTCCATTTGGGGGTGCCGATGTCTACAGTCTAAGCAACCCTCTCGGGCGGGCCCGGCGGAGGCTTATCCGTACCATGGGTGCACATCAAGATGTGTCCTTAGCGTGAAGATTGGAGAAGAGGAGCTTATGTTTGTAGCGCTCCCCGGCACCAAGACTCCGCCAATACCGAAATTATGATAACTATCGATAGAAATGAGCGAAAGACCTTTGACCTACGTTAGGATAGCGCATTCAAAATCACTACTGTAAGTGCTCGAGAACGGACCACATGTGCCCACTTTCATTACGCTCACGTGTTACGCCATGGCAATAAGTCAACCGAGTCCGAGGAAAAGGAATTGGTAAGTGAGCATGGGTGTACATGTTTCGTATGCAAGCCCATGCAAGCCATATGCGCTTTGGGCCCCTTGCTTTGTTTTCCCTATTACCTGCAGAATGCGATCATCCAACCCCCCCTTTCCATGTCCAATCATCCCCCATTTCACTCACACTTTCGACATAAGTTCAAAACCCCTTCCTTTTCACCGTAGTTGACGAAACCTGACAATCCTTTGCATTTTCCTTCCTTTGCGTGCAACATTCTTTCCTTATGACTTGGGATGGCCTCCGAACCCGATGATTACCAGACTATCAGCGACAATTGTCCAGGGTACATGGTCTTGATCTCGGAGGGTATAATCTGCACTCGCTGCGCAGGGGAGAAACGTCACAGGCCGAATGATTGCCCGAAACCTACAACTGCTGCGGATCTAGCCACAGAGACCTTTTTGGAGGGAGATGCAACTGGGGACGACAATGCAGACCCGGGGATGGAGTCTCTCTCGGATACGAGTAGTATGTTTTCGGAGTCGACCGCTCGCTCGGAGAGCTCAGAGATGCAAGTGACAGATGCGCATCAGTCGGACCAAGGTGGTAGCCACCAGCAAGACACCCATCCACCAAGCCGCGGTTTCGCACGCGCCGATGGCAGCCACACAGATACTGAGCCGGACCGCACCAGCCCTTCGCCGCCAAATCGTCGAGCCGAATTCAGAGTCCCCAAAGTTCCCTTGAACGAACCCAGCCGAGCCCCCAAGATCTTCGTCAAAGCCAACCGTCAAACATCCAATACAGCTACCACCCACAAGTCCGCACTTGCCAACACCACTGGGAAATTTGATTACGACAATACAACGTGTCCCAGCTCCTTTGGATTCGGACGACTCCCTTCAGAAGCCATGGGCTGAGCAGAAAGACGGAGCATACAGTGGCGCTGAGCATTTCGGTACGTATCCGATGGGAGTTTTGCCGTGCTCCGTGAACCGCTACTTGTTCAAAGCCGGCTCTAACCTGAAGCTCTGCAGGATCGTACGATAAGATGCAGGCTGCTGTTGCGGAGGCTAGAGAGGCTGTCAGGAGATGCATTTGTCCCAGCACTTACGCGAGTGTCGAAATATGATTCATTCATTGCCTTGGGTGGATAGCAAGCGTCGTATTATCATTCCTTGCCCTGGGTGGATTGCAAGCGTTGAGTTATATTCCTTGCCCTTGGTGGATAGCAAGCGTCCAATTATATTCGTTGACCAGGGTGGATAGCGCTCGTTACTCGATTCAGTTACATAGTCGTGTTACTCTGATTTTGCGGCTCTGTGTTAGTAGCTCAATGTTTTGACGCGTTCGCGACATCTTTAGCATTTCAGGATCTTTGCGGTCGTGGTGGTGCTCCAAACAATAGGCTTTCGTTGCTAACGAACCTTACACCTGGGACTCCTCCACCTCTTTGAGCGGGTTTTCGCATCTCCAATCCTTTTCCCGGACCCATCGAGTCATTTGTTTGCAGGTCCAGCATAACAATCAACGCAACGGATGCATTCGACTAGTTCATGTCCCGAAGCTCCCCAGGCCTTCAAGTGAGCTCTTGCCCGTCAAACGATACCTGCAAAGAGAGCCGGAATTGGAAAACGTGGTCTGAGATTTGGAATGAAAACAGCGCCCATCACTTCCAAGGCCAGCAGATTGCACGCCTAACAAACAGCTGACATGACCTCTTCCAAACCCCCTGACGTCTTCGCGATTAAGCTTTTCTCCCTTTCTCCGAGGCGACTACCAAGCAGCGCCTCAACTTCCCTTACCTTTCAGGCTCGCATTTGAATTCGATACGGAGGAGATTGGTTGGCCTCTTCACTAAGGCACAGGATTGTCGACTCTCCGCCATTCCCAACGGGCATCGCCTGCGCTGTCCTCTCGGGTGGACTTGATGCTTGAAATATCCACGTGGCTAGTACACAATAAGTGCTCGGAAGGCATCAAGCGCAATGATCTGCTCATGGCATTCGTCCTTCCCATTGGTGGTTCGGTACGGAAGAGCAAGCGCTGCCGTTTTGGCTGAAGGGCCATGGTGATACGAGGTGAAGAATGCTAAGTGGTGGCCGTATGTGGAACTCGATTGGACGGCAAATATGGGTGAGGGGTAGGGGTAGGATTGAGTTTTAAGCCGGCGTGGCATTCCAAATTGTGCAAGGCCAGGCTCGACATGCGTGCGCAGGGATGTGAGATACTTGCATGCAGCCTTATTATAGGGCTGCATACTTCCCTTCCCGGCCGTGCCGGCTCAGCGGATCAAACATATGGCCTCCCAGGGTTATCATACGCCTCCCAGCAGACCCTGTAAAATTAGCTCGCAACCATGTCCAGCTACAATTGGCAAACCCCAGTCGATATCCTTTTCAAGCCTTAATCTAACTGAAGGGACCTTGCAGTGACATGAAGTCAGCAGCAAGGCTTCCGAGCACGTTTCACACTCAGATTTTTACCATCAATCCCTGCGGCACGGTCATATCCATTTGCATCTCAGTCATAGTCTCCGAGTCAGTCTCTGCTCGACGTCTCATCCAGCGGCGGACTCACAGGAACGGTGCTTGCGTGTCATAAGGCATATTGGCACGAAAAGATGATTCACAGGGGTATGCAAAAGGCAACCTACGGCTGAATATCCCTGTCCAGAACGAACTGTCCATGCGAATCGAACCTAACAAAAGACATGGCGTTTGAGATCATCCAGGCTCTGTGCTCGACTGGACATGCACCTCAAACAGGGCATGAAGAGCACTTCTGTCAAATTTGGCTGGTCGCTGCCTTTGAACTAATGCGTTTCCTGTCGAGTATGCCCCACTATCTCCCAAATTTTGGCCCATCGATTTGTCTTGTGCGAGCTGTCACGTTCTCGCGTACCTGCAGTACCAGATTGCGATGGTTGCTCGTTTGCATGTGCTGTCTCCCATTTGCCCTTTGCTGTTTGTCCCCGTTGCTGGCTTTGCCTAGATGTCAGCTTTTTGTCAGTCTAGCAAACAAAGCTGGTTCATTTAAAACAGCTCTGTCTCGTGTGAGACTCGCTCTTTTCAGTAGAAGAAAAGACCTTCAGATCTGTCCCGGGGCATCTATTCTCAACTTACGTCTACTGCGGTGATCTATTGATCAGATCAAAATAGCAAGCGCTATTCAGCGCTCCCGAGAGCGATGATGCAAAAATCAAGCCATGGGGGATTCCTTGGCTCGTATCCAGACCATTGACGTAGACGAAGGCCTCTTCCCCATTCGACCCGACCTTGGGAACACAAGCATCCAGGAGAGCGTTCAGTTGTGGGCAAACTACTTTGTGATGGAATTGCACAAGCGGGATCTGGTTCTCTACCTCTATGACATGGCTTTCGAGGCTTTTCCTCCGAACGGGTCTGATCAAACAGACAAAGAGATAAGCGTTCCCGAGGGAAATAAGCTGGTGCAGGTCATTCGATGCGCGTTGAACCTTTCAACCTTCAACGAAATCAAATTCGACATTGCCACAGATTCTAGTTAGTTGCTGATATCATGCAAGAAGCTTGAGAGCAGTCAAATGCAAACGGGCTGATTCAAATTCTGGGCGGGAAACGAGAACAAACCACGGAAGAAGGCCACTCGATTCCAGAGGACCCACAAAGACAACTGTCTACTTTGCGTATCCGACCTTTTGAACTCCTTGGCATCCAGGACCCAAAGGAAAAAGGCATATGAGAACACATTCCCTATCATTCAGACTCTCGATATCATCCACGGCCACTACGAAAAGTTATCCTTAGAAATAGCGACGCCGAAACGTGGCAAATGTTTCCCCCAGGAACCAACAACCTCAACAGATTCCCGCTACAGAGTCCCAGGGATACCCCGAGTTATCTGCAAGGCGTCCGAGGCTTCTTCGCCAGTGTTCGAGCTACCACGGGCAGCACATTGGTCAACTGTAACGCTTGTTGTGGCGCTTTCTACAAATCCGGACCTCTCGAGCACCTTTTCGCCGTGTTCATCCCCTCTAATCGGAGTCCCTCTCCAGAGCACTTTAAGTGGCTTGAGAAAGCCATTCAAGGTCTGCGAGTTGAATTCAACCACCTGAAAGACGACAAGGGCAACCAAGTGGGGTCGCTCCTGACCATCTTTGGGCTTGCACGCCCTTATGGTGGGCTCAAGGATGTCGAACTCTATCACAAGGAAGACGAACAGGCTTACACCGTCGCGACCTACTGGGCGAAAAAAGGCACTTCTCTCCCGACATCGGCTTTTGAAGTTTCTGACATTTTATAGGATACGAGTCGCCTACTTGAAACTTCGCCTACCCTGTGGTTAATGTGGGAGATAAAATCCATCCGACCTTCTTGCCTCCGCATGTGTGCACCATAGTTCCGGGTTAGATGGCTAAAAGGAAACTCGACTCTACCCAAATCGCGGACATGATTGAATATGCCAGCCGTGCGCCTGAGGATACCGGAAGGTCCATCAACGCGGACGCCTTCAGAGTTCTTGGCCTAGATGACAATAGTGTTGCACTTGTAAATGGTCCCTGTGTTTGGTTATGATTTTGTTCAGAGGCTGACTTCAACAGAAATCTTTCGGGATTTCCTTAGTCTCTGGCATGGTCACTGTTCAGGATCGTCTTTTGGACCAGCCAGCAGTCAGCTACCAGAAAGATTCCACGGCCCATGTAATTGACGGGAAAGGTCGCTGGAATCTTAGAGGCGTGTCAAAAGTGTTCAGACCAGGGCAGTTGGAGAAGTCGGGTATTCTGAGAATTACCCGAGATGAAAAGGATTTGAGGTACGTACTTTTTGAAGTAAATTCTTCCTTCTTAGTCGCATATTAGGGCCACAATCCAGGTTTGGTAGCAGAAAGCTCTCTCACCCCTTCGGAATTGTCTTGTTACTTAGGTGACTTGCCATGTTTCGGCAGCGAAAGGATGTTTCTGCTCTTCAGACGTGTCTCGTTTCTCGGTCTGTTACCCAAAGAGAGCTACACTAACCCCGAGATCTGTGTAGGGGCGAGCAAAGCACTTTCGACGAAAGCTTTCGCAGTTTTCTTGCCACCCTTAGAAACTACCTTTACGGAAACAAACTCGATAAACCAGTTCATTTGGGGCGGCAGACGATCTATGAAGGGGACGAAGATGCTATCAACCGGGAGTCGACCGCTGTGTGGAGCAGGATATCTGCTTTCTCATAATCGTCTTGCACGACAGTGACGCAAGTACATACAACCACATTAAGAAGAATAGGCGACATCAACTGCGGGATGAACACTGTATGTGTCTTGGGTGAGCAGAGGAAGTTCTACAAGAGGCCCGTCCCCAAGGCGAATCAGTAGTTTGCCAACGTTGCTTTGAAAAACAACCTCAAGCTTGGAGGGATCAATCACATCCTTGAAAATCAAAGACCGCTTTACGAAAATACTATGGTAATCGGGGTAGATGTGACACACCCGTCCCCAGGTCCAGCTAAACGGACAGCACCGAGTGTGGCAGTCATGGTAGCCAATGTTGACAACGAGGTAACCCTTTCCCGTTCTCACTTATCTCCCAGGTGCAAGAAGGGCTAATATAGAGAAAAACCAGCTCACACAGTGGCCGATAGATCTTCGGATCAATACGGCTGGTAAAGAAATGGTCGACCTGCTGGGACCAATGCTTACGACTCGCCTGGAACTATGGCAAAGTGACCGCGCCAATTCGCTTCCCGACAATCTTCTGATCTATCGTGACGGCGTTTCGGAGAATCAGTATAAGACATTACTCGAAGAAGAATTGGGAAAAATAAGAAACACCTGCCAGGTCAAGTACAGAGGCAGAGATCCTCCCAAGATCACGCTCATTATCGTTGGCAAACGTCATCACACCCGATTCTTCAGAAAGACCGAGGCAGGAAACTGTACAAATCCAGAATTTGGCACGTAAGTATACCTGGAAATCGAGGACTTAAGTCCTTCGCTGTGTCCTAGAAGGAAGAGATCGTCCATGCATATTTCCCCTCCCCCTCAACGTTCCTACATTTACTGACAGAACATGGCTAATTGCAACGGATCTTCAGAGTTGTCGACACCGGTGTTACCGAGGCCCGCAACTGGGACTTCTTTCTTCAATCACACCACGCACTCCTAGGCACAGCGTGCCCTGCTCATTACTTCGTCTTGCATAACGAAATCTTGACAAAAGAGTTCGTCGGCGCAACCTTCAAGATTTCGGACTATTTGCACAAGTTGGCCTACGAAATGTGTTATCTATTTGGACGATCCACGGGTCCGGTCAACATACCACCACCGGTCTACTACGCGGATCTCGCGTGCGAGAAAAGTCGCTGCTACGGGGATTGCGACGATGACATCTCGGACACTAGCTCAACGATAGGAGATGACGGCGGCAAGCCTCAAGGGAGTCGAGCCGAGGCCCAATCGGCAAGTTGAGGTCATGGGTCCGGAAACCAGATACCGAATCGACCGGCACCAAGTAAGCAAGGACCAAGCGCGCAGGGTACTCCAGGATTCAGTAAATACACCCGAATAAACCAGGGCCTGGCTCCACGGCACCCGGCGGAAAGGGAGACGCGTTGAAGACAGATCTGCGACCTACAGAGGCAAAAATGCCAGATTTAACGGCTGGGTTCACAAAGAAGGAGAAGGCCAAGTTATTTGAGGAAAGAATGGCCGCTAGCCAGAAAGCAGCAACGGGAGGGTCGTCGAAGGCGGAAGGAAAGGAACCAGAAGTCAAAACGGAAGCCATATAGGAAGGGAAAGCGAAAGAAAAGCTGCCAGCAGGAAAAGCTGGAGGCAAGGTTAAAAAAAAGGGACCCAACGATTCTCATGCATCAACTAATTGTTCTCTGACCAATTGAAGAGAGCGGCCATTCGCAGGACGAATGTTTCCGATCAACAATGGGCGCGCGACCCTAACAGAGCCGCTATGGTGTGTCAGATCTCACTCTCAGGGCTTCGCCAATCGGCAAGTATCACATCATGAGTCTCTCCGATTCATACTGATCTACAGTCGGTCTAGTATTCGATCTGGAAGCTAATCTGATCTTGGATCTATTGAACTAGGTACATTCCCAGCGATTGCTTGTTTACCCTTTGGTCACTTTGTCCCTCAACTCTGATCCAGATGCCGGAACCTTGACGAGTATAGCGGCTGATGAGTAATGCCACTCAAGACTCGGCTCATTACCGTATGCCATGTGAACCATAGCCAGCTCGCGCGGTCCTGGCTCGTTGAACCAGACGATACCCTTGTACCACTCCGAAAGCCATTTCGACTTAACAATCTGAACTCCCAGTCAGCATTTTCAAGACAGGTTGATTGTCCAATCGACATACCATCGTTGCTGAACCTTCGTCCTCACAGCCACCGGCGTCACTTAGAATCACGCCGTGGAGTTTAGCACCAACCAACTCGGCGCCTTGGAGCTGTTTTCGCAATTTGCGGTCCTCTTCGTCCGGCATACCTTTCATCACTGGCCGTACCTCGACATCTAGTCCCAAGTGGTAAAAGGTCGAGTAGAAGACGGCGTCGATACCTTTGAGAGCATACGGGAGACGGTTACGGTGGTTATCGTTTGTGTGAGCGTATGCGTGTTGGCAGTAGAACCCCAGCACGCCACCCTTGGTCATGAAGTCTGGCGCTTTTAACGCATCAATAATCTTATTGGAGAGCGCGTATTGTTTCAGGTTGACTGATGTGTTTTGACGCATGACACCGCCAAGACGCTCACGCACATACAAGTTGTATGTCGGGGTAAGGCGGTGGCCGCTCTTGACCTCCAATACTTCATGCTCGCAGTCACTGTAGAAAGCTGCCCACTGAATCTTGTTTGCTTCCTTCCGGCCCCAGTCGAAAACCGTCTCTAGGCCTTGATGTGCGACACATAGTTGACCGCCTTCGTGAGGATAGGGTAGGCAGATTACCAATGAGCCGAACTGCTTGGCACCGCGAGGAGTGTCGACGTGGGCACGGAATTTTCCAGAAGGGCCGGAGTAGATCTATGTTCTTGGGTGTGAGCAAGTATCCATGTTGATTTCAATACCAATAGATCGGGTGATGCTTCTGAACATACATTGAGCTTATAGAGCTCAGCTGCAACACTCAAATTGTCTTCGAACGTTGACTTCCCATCCACAAACGGCTTCGCGACGCCAGGCAGGAGTATCTGCGAGATTGCGTCGACAATGCCAACGTCGTGTGGGTTGAAGTTGGTGGAGAATTGATGCGCGTCAAGCTTCGCAGCCTTGCGGTAAGACTCATCGAGGACTTCTTCTCCAGCCTTGCCGAATGTCGCAGGTGTACAATGCTTTAAGAGCCCTTCGATGACAGCTGCGCCATCAGCAGCCTCGGAAGGTGGCAGTGCCAATTTGCGGACCGTTTTGCCACTGGGAAGATCCCAGCGAAGCACGATAGAGGCGGAGGTAGCTTTGCCGTCGTCATAGGTCAAGTTCTCGAAGCGGCTCAACAGATTTTCTTCATTGTTAGAGACTTGAACTTCCCCTCCACAACAAAAAGCAGCTTTCTGGGCCGAAACAGCGCCGACAAGCTGATCCAGTAGGCTCGACTCTTCGACTTTTCCCTTTGCTAGTCCTTTTTTGGCGGCTGGCATGACTGGGTGTCGTGAGTTATCCTGCTGCTATTGCCTTAATTTTGTTCACGGAATATCTCTGGGTAGTTGTGGAGTCGATGTTATGTTGTATTGGGATGTGGTGTGAAAGTTGTTTATTATCAAGAAGAAGTAGAATGGCTGCGAAGCCCACTATATAAAGTGTTAGGTGGCTAGCCTTACCACAAGGCTGGGAGCATGTTCCAACATGTTGAGTGATGGAGTTTTTGTTATCATCTAAATGCTATGGTCCCTTCAAGATAGGCCATTCCAAGACACTAACGGAGGTGTTGAGGTCAGATTTCATCGCGTTAACAGAGACAGAGACTGCAACCCCTTTAGGCTTCTCAGATAGATGCGCTAGCGAGTAGAAAAAGATTCTGCGTTCGATCATGGCGCTAAGTGGCCGAGATTCATTTCTAACCGCCATGAATTGATGCATTGACCACAGGAACCAGGCACTCGAGCAACCAAGCCAAAACACTCGCTTCGCCGGGCTCATCATGGATACACTCGCTCTGTTCGGAGGATCACACTCCGTATCCTGCTTGGATTTAGTGGAGAAGCAGATGTTATGGGCAAAGCTGGCCTAGTGCATCGGCTGCAACAGACCGCGGCCTTCGAAATTTCGGAGCAGTTCTTCCTCTTTCAAACCACTTTTCGAGCTGTTAGACATGTTTGGGGAATACAAGGATCGGTTTACTTCCCTAGAGCTCATCCATTACTCGGATATGCCATAAAGAAGAGACACTGATCCCGAAGTCTCTACAGGTACGCACATTTCAGGTTTGTTCTTCCCTCTTTATATCAAACCTTAAGCCACAAGACATAGTATTAGAGCGAAACCCTGCTCCCACCTCTGAGATCTATGTTATTAATCCGGGCTTGGTGCCTTCTTCAAGCAATGGTAATCTCGAATGTACGTAGTAAGGCTCTTCTCGTGGTTATCTTTTCCTGTTTGCGACTGGCTTTTGAGTCGTGAGACACGTTGGAGAAACAACTTCCCCATTTTACCGCCTTCTGGCTCCGAAGACATGTCCTGTTACTCAAATTTCCATTTATGGATGAGAATGCTGACACAAATATATGATAGTGGTAAGCACGGGGAAATATCTCATGCGTCACTGTTGTGTTTCTGTACTGTACGCTGGAAATAACACAATTAGACTTGTTGATGTCGAGTTAGAGCAGACGGTGGTATATACGACTTGCGATTTTTGCAGGCCCTCATCATAATCAGTTTTCTCTGCCCTAAGGTTGAAGGATCATCTGTTTGGACTCACTAGGCCGAACCTTTATCGCGGGCTATACAAGCATGGCGCTACGCTGCCTCGGTACAAAGCGGGCGACAGCTAGTTTTTGACACTGTTCAGTTCAGAGAGGAGGCCACACAGGAACAGAGCGTAGAATTTCTGAGATCATGGCTTGGGGTAGCCTTTTCGTATTACAGGGTGGAAATAGAGACATGATCAAAGCTGATAGAAAGTGTGCCAGAGACAATGACGGCTTCGGATCAAGAGTTGTCGCTTGAAATGAGTCTGAAACGATACTCTTCTCTGTGAAGGTTGGCAGATAACAAATTTTGGGGGAAAAGACGATCCCGGGCAAAGCGCCCAACGCACTTCCGGAGAACTAGTCCAGACTTGTTTGGGTCAATAGTCCTTGGACAAGTTCGAAGCCATATTTCAATGGTCTAGACTGGTCTGAGGTATGAGAGCTAATGGTTGAAGTGTTTAGCCCGACATCATTATTTTTGTTGAACTTCATGAAAACCTAGACTTGGTCTCAGGGTTTCAGATCGTGCCTTCCCGGGCTGTCATTTGCGTTCTAGCTTGATTTGATGAGTAAAATGGGCGCCAATTTTCTTTGAAAACATTTTCGGTTGTTTTGATATCAGCCCTCGATTTCGTATGGACGATTATTCTGCAGATTTATGCATCTAGATAGACGGTGGATTATCTGTAGCTTCGACCTGGATCAACTCAGGCACCCAGATCGATGTCCGGACCAGTGGGTGTCTTGAGTACGGGCGAAAATTATGAGCATCTTAGTCGTGGATGAATGTAGAGGCTGTTGCTGAGCTCAACGTTGCCTATCGAGATTCGATGAGATTAGATAAGAAAGAAGCGGTACACAACGGTACTCCGCAGTCGAAGTAAGAAAAAAAAAAACTCGGCAGGGTTGATCCTTTAACGCCTTGGTCCGGTGAGGTGGAGGGCAAAAGGATGAATCGAAAATGGAGTCTCGACTGCCAGCTTGCGTTGCCACGTTTCATCTACTACCAAATGGCAGACGAATTTGGAAATGTACACGGAGCTCATGGGGCTGGCGTTAGCCTTGAGAAGAAGATATCCATGCATGTTTCTGTAGTGTCGAGGCTGGCTTGAATAGACTAGCCGAAGCCTTACAGAAAGGCTGAAGGGATTGTGTAGTTCCTATAGCCTTTGTGCTTCAGAAGGTACAAGTGAGAAATCGGAAATGAGAAGGCTAGAGCTAATCGTACGCTCTACTTACTGCTTGTACACCTTCCCCCCCTTTTCCCCTCTCCTGCCTCCCAACCCGTTAGCGCAGGATTCGCAATAATTCTTCAGGAGCACTTTGCGATGCGGCCCGACATCGCGACACTTGTCTTCTCCCAACGTACATTTCCCGTAACCCTATGTCTTGTTGAAAACTGGAGGATGCGCCTGTATAAGATTCAACGAATCAGATGAGTGTGCAAGAGGGTGTGTTACAGAAAGGGTCTTGGAAAGGAGGCGAGGATTCTGTTCACGAGGGTCGCACTCTATAGATAGCAAGATGAAACTGGAAAGACGCCTACGGAGGTTGTGTAGAAAAACTACCGGAACTCAGGTACTGACGATGATTCGAGCGGTACAAGGTTCTATTTTGGAGGGTGTACATGTAGAGAAAAGGGGTTGCGCCCGCAGATTGAGGGAATTGAGGACTGCCAAGACCTTTGGTCAAGGACCGTTCTGTACATATTAACCCGGTCTCTTTAATCACGACTTCAACTTTTTCAGCACCAGACATCATAAACAAGTGGCCAACAGCCAGCGATGATTTACAGAGAGAAGATGATTAGTCACTTTCAAGGACTAAACCCTGAATATACGAGAGCGTTCGCCTGCCGGCGCCACACGTCTTCGACTCACGCAGGAAAGACGCACATCTTGTTTCACATATAATGCAATGCATGGCTCAGCCGCAAACGCATAGCCTTGTGATTCAATGCCTCACAGCTCCCTCCTCGGTCTTTTTTTTCACTTTATCTTAGCTACTTCTTTGTAGCTAGAGACCAATCTGTCTTACAAGGGTGGTAAGTATTTCACGATCTCCCAACTATGTTAACGCTTATGCCCCCCGAAATGTCAGCTCTCGCCTTAACGATATGGGCGCTGGCGCTTATTACTGTCTGCCTTCGATTCGTTGCTCGAAGAATTACAAAGGCGGGGTTCTGGTATGATGACTGGCTTATGATACCTGCTACTGTGAGCATTCCCTAAATCATCAAGACGCGTGAACTTCCTCAATGGCCCGGAAGCGTATTTCAAGCTCACGTGTCTACCAGCTTTGCGCCACGGCGGTAAGCTTTATCTCGGCCATCGACAAAACCACCGATCCAGGCTCATGGCTCTTTGCCAGTTCGATCTGCTGGGCCATCGTCATGTGGATTGTCAAATACTCCATTCTAGCTTTTTACTGGCGTCTTTTCAGCGGCAATCGCCGAGTAGTCCGATTCGTCATCTGGGCTCTTGGAGTACTTGTAACGTGTTGGGGAGTTGCAGTGGTACGTTTCTGTCCCTTGATCCGGCTCTGTTGTCATCACAACGGTACTCGCGGATCTTAACGATGATTTAGGTGTTTTCAACAATATTTCAGTGCGATCCCGTCAGCGTTGATCCCGTCAACGTATACTGGTCTCCGGATGAAAGCTTTCAATGTCATGTGAATTTCGAGTCGCTCTTTCTGGGCTCTTCAATAACACATATCATCATCGATGTAGTGCTTCTGGGCTTGCCGGTGCCACTCATCTGGAACCTTCAGATGTCCAGATCACAGAAAGTCATGTTGACTGGTGTGTTTGCTGTGGGCGGCTTGTATGTTGCTCTCTTCTTGGTATCTCTTCCACAAATGCATCGCCCTCCCCGGATCCAAAAACTAGGTCGTCTCCAACTAACAAATGTTCCGAATCCAGTGAAACAATTGTCTCTGCCTTCCGCTTAACATGCGTAGTCTTAAGTTATTCAGGAAGTAACAGCAGGTTCTCGAATTGTTGCTATGAGTTTGATTGGACGAGTTGCGAGGTCAACAGTGCCATCATTTGTGGTCAGTACATGACAGCTTCCTCTACCCGTTCTTATAGCAGAAAAACAACGGCTAACATCAAATCTTCACGTTCATCACTAGCATGCCTCCCTTCCCTCCGCCCAATACTATCATTCATCTCCGCGAAATTCAAACAATTACGCAAGCACGAGAGTACTCATAAAAGAGGCTCAAGGCTTCTGATGGATATGCTTCCGGCAGGCAAATTCCCTTCGTCCCCAGTGTTGCCGTTATCAAGGAAACAGAGCTGGAATGATGGGCAGCATCCCATGCTAGACTCGTCAGCCGTTGTAGAGGTGGAAGCAATGAATCCACGAACTCCAGAGCTAGACGCCGAAGCGCCGGGACCACATATACTAGAGATCGGGGCACAGGAGCCCGTACTGGAGCTGGAGTGTCAAAGATCTATAGCCGAGTTGGAGGGAGGGAGCACTTCCGCGACGAGGATACGATGAATGTGGAAGTATAAGCAAGCATGTTTCGCAGCTACCGACAGTACAATCCCAGCGAAGTGCGGAAAGTTCAGACGATGATTGTAAGACAACACGATCTCGCAGGATTTCCTTTAATCCTTCCCTTGTTTCTTAGGCGCGGGCTTCTTTTGGGTCTTGCGGTCTGCTTGATACCTTACGAACTAACCTCCACACCACTGAAAGCGAGTATAACTATAGAACTTAGCTTGGTTTGCGTATCTGAAAATCGCCTTCTTGAGTCTTAGGGGCTCGTTGTTCACATTCGCCATAGATAAGCGCATAAGTCTTGGCAGCGTATACATGATTCCCAAGAAAGAGGAGAAGGGTGACCCAGGCTTCAACCGATCAGCACTTTACAAGGCCAGTCCGACATTTCCCCAGGTGACTCGCTCACCTTCATCGTCGCCATCCAAGGATTGAGTGTGAGTATGACCTTGATACATGAGAGTCAGGGACTGCCAGAACATGAAAACGCATCCCGTGTCAGACCATGATATCCAAGATTAAACCTCTGCAAATGTGCCATCTATCTTCTGAAAGCAATAATATACGCATAATCGAGAGAGTGCGTGACTCATGCATCTTTATTCCTTCGATAGAGGCTCTCCGGATGACGCTCTAACTGACTCTTACCTGCAAAGATGAATGTTGACAACAACAAACATACGCTTGGAACGGGCAGCACCAACAACCACATGCCTGGAAACGGCGGTGGCAGCAACCACATGCGTGGGAACGGCTGCGGCAAAAAGGTTGAGGTATGCCTGTCGACATCGTTGATCCTGCTTAACCTACACGATCCCAAAACCCTCGTTGATTCATCTACCAACCTTCTTTGTTTGTAGCGCTCCCGCAAATGCACCCAGTGTGGTAGCACCAATCATACTGGTGCTTCGTGCCCTGTCCGCCGTCCGGCGGCACTTGCTGCGGGCGTGCTGGAGCTTGGTGCTCGTATGCTGGGTGTGCCCGTTAGGGCCAAAGATGTGGCCGAGGCTCGCAGGGCCAAGAAAGAGCAGCGGCGGCGGAACAACAAGTTCGCCTCTGGGAGGGGCCAGCGGCAGCTATTATGGTCGTGAGAGGGGTAGCGGCAGCAACAATCACAGTCGTGAGAGGGGCGGGGCCATATGTAGTATCTCTGCGGAAGAGCGCGACGGCGACAACAACACCTTCCCGGGAGGGAGAAACGGCGGCGGCCCCGCCTATTCCGATGATCCCGTAAAAGGCTCTCGTGTAATAAGTGCGCCAAACAATTTGTTATATGAACATTTGAACCGCTTTACAGATTAGAAACCCCAATTTTTGTTTCCAACTTAGATATTGTAAAAAGATCGTGCGCTAGATACTAGGCGTCTTCTCTCCTTTCCATTACACCAGGATTCTCTTCCAACTCGCTTCTACACGCCAGAAGTAACCTATCTTCCACCTACCCAATCAAACCTTCAACCCCACATGTCAGAACTGCCCGTTAAACCGGTACCGATCGATATCAAAACCCCATCATCCACCGACTACCACACCTCAACTGCACCACCCACCACCAGCCACCAACAATCAAACAACCAGTCACGCAACAATCGGAGCACCATCGACAACAAAACCCCTCCACCATCCTCCCCAGCCCAGCCCATCGAACCCACAAAGCCCATTAGCACAACTTTACCGCAGCAACGTTGCACCATCGCCTCCTCACCCCGTCCACCCTTCCTTCGCCTTCTCCGGTGCGCACAAGACGCGGAGGTGAAGAGTAGCATCCCCCCGGTCGGGTTGAGGGTCGGAAAGTCCAGACGATGGGATGCATGGAGAGTATGTAGGTTGAGCGGGTTGGTACGAGGACGTTAGAACGGTCCCGAGAGGGCGTTACCGGTGTAAGGGCACGGGAGCCGGGGAAGGGTCGCATCTGGCGTCGATGGCGGAAGTCGAGCGAGGGTACGGTCGGAAGGGGGTCAACTGTACCGGTTAGGCTACGGGCGATTGGTGGACCGCGGATCACTTTGGGCGCTGGGCGAGTTTGATCACGAGGTGAGGAAAGGGGTGAGGGATTGAGGCGGATTGTGTCCTGGATTCAGGGGATAAGGCATTCTGTCAGTCAGCGCGAGGCTGCTATCGAGGTGACTATATCCATGACGCTATTTGATCAATTTCTAGCCTAGCGTGGGTATTTCAGAGCCATCGATTACTCCATCCGGAAAAAAATTAAAAGGGTGGAAAAATGCCAGGGGTTTCCCAGTCGTGGAGATAACAACGCTCGTTCCCGGAAGCATCCATCCGCTGAACCCTGATTCTTTTAATGGCGCGGGTGAAGCGGTTCTGACCTGGAGTCGTGCACTTTTCCCATGCGGTGGCGGGAGGCGCCAGGCCTTGGTCTCTGTCACGCCGTGCTGTGAGAGCTATCTATGGATCCGCCAGCCTGTGGGTCGCTCAAATTTCCAGACTGTGCTACAAACGGGCCAAGAGCCGAAGACCAGCATCATGCTCCACAACAATGGCTGCGAGTTGTACAAGGGAAGATGAGTTCTCATGGTCAGACCGAAGATCCAACGAGCTTTCATGGTCTTCGGGTTGGCATTCATGCCGTCACAGAGCCAGCACACCGATACGGAAAACCTGTGACTGGCATCTTCGCCAAGTCGACTGCCTAGGGAACCTGTCAGGAACGAGACACAGGTTTTCCCCTGCGAGCGAGGAGGGCATACTTTCAAAAGAGAACATCTTTGCCCGTCAGCAAATCGAACGTAGCCACCGCCTCCGGATTGCCGCCCTTCCATCCGACCTCCCATCTCCCCTCGGCTTGTTTCCTGCGCATATAATTCAGCGACTCCTCAAACACGCCCTCCCACTCCCTCCCATCATCCTTCACCGCATCCGCCTGCCTCAGCGCCTCAACCGCCAAACGGACCCACTCCACGTCATTGAACTTGGCGCCCGGGCCCGACGACCCATCGTCTTGGTGGACGGGGACCCGGGCCAGGATCTCGCCGACGCGGTCCTGGGACGCGGAGAGTTTGCCGACGATGATACTGGCGAGCAGGAGCGGCTCGTCGGCGAGGTCGTGGATGTGGTAGGTTTCGTAGATGCAGGGGTGGGAGACGACGCCGTCGGCGTTGGTGCGGATGGTGGTCTTGACGTGGTGTTTGGTGGCGGAGAGGACGCCCGAGAGGGCGAGGGTGGCGGCGACGTCCTTTGGGCGGAGGAGGAGGGCGTAGTGGTAGGCGTCCGGGTATTTGGGGAGGGCGTAGAGGGCGAGGTGCAGACGGGCTTTGTTCCGCATGGCTGGGGATCGGAAGGGTTTGAATGGGGAGGAGGAGGAGGAGGAAGGGTTGGGGGAAAAGGCGGTTGGTGTGCGGGGTTTGGGTTCAGAGATGAGGGAGTACTTGTCTGTGTCCGGGTTACTGGAGCGTGGAATGTGCATGCGCGACTTATTGTTGGGCATAGTCAGTCGTTGTGATGAATGATAATGATATTGATATTGATAGGGTGGAAAAGAGGAGAGGAGAAAGCATTGTTGCAAAGTGAGTGAAATGTTGGAAAGTGAAGATCTGAAAGAGAGATAAAAGAAATACCCCTCCGTATCTTATGCCTAAGGTACTTAATTATGTGTCCGAGGTCAAAAAAATTAAAAAAAAAGAGGGTCACGCTAGCGGGACCCGGGACATGAAAGGATGATGGTCCGCGGAGATCATCTGCTCTCTGATTGGTCTCGCTCCAAGAAAGTTTGGGTAGCGTGCCCCGGATATATGCCCCCAAGGCCCCCAAATCTTGCAATATTGGCTTGGCCATGTTTCTGCTTCAACTAGCTACCTTAGGCACTTTCTCCTCCTTGACCTAAGGTACTGTTCCATGTCGGCATCTAGCAAGCAAGATTCGCGCATTGATTCGATAACGCTTTGAACTTGTTCTCATTCTTCTGATAGTCGAAACGATACTATGTGATAGTCTTGGACTTGAGGATCGTAGCAAGGCATGGTGTGTCCCTCTTCCCTAGTCACTCTAATTGCGGTGAGCCGGTGGCTTGTTGTGAGTTTATTAGCGTTCAATGTCCACGTGTTTTTCCACGTGTTTTCCACGTGGCCATGGTCTGGCCCGTTTTATCTCCAAGCCACCGATGCAAGCGTGAAGTATATTTGTACTGACTTTACCATCATCCCTTAATAAAGTTAACCTCGAGGTTTAATCCTGGCCAACTATCGGCATCGGGGCCTCAAATTGTGAACGTCGGAACCTCCGGACTAATCATAATATTGCCTTGGCTCTTGGCGAGTAAATACCGCAAAATTATGCGAACATCCATCCGCCCTGGCTTTCACTCAGCTCGGTGGTAGCTACTCTTGCAGCTTCCCTCTCAACCCGAGCCTCCATCAGCCTAGGAACCCGATACGCTTCGTGATCTGGCATACCGGGCAATGATCAATATCAAAAGTTGGTCTTCCATCTGAAACCATTGCACATCAGCTTCACCAGCATACAGCATGCTCAACACAAGATGAAATGACTATCAGCAGGGCCCAGCAATCTGTTCCGCAGACTCTGGTGATCTGTGAAATTTCATGACAAGCAAACATCATCTGCCTGAACATTACAGCAGGACTCTTACCTGTGTCATCAAGAAGAAATTACCGTTCTGACTGGTTCAAGTCCCAACATGCTTCTGCTCTCCAGAAAGTCCCGTCGTAACGAAGCCGCAAAAATCATTTCGCATCTTTCAACTTCAGCTCGCTTCGCGGTTGAAAGAATCGTGACCATAAAATCAGAAGGACGTAGAGAAGTTGCTTTTAATGCTCGAACAGACAAAGAAGCCAAGACGACGATGCTCCTCTATCGCACATACGACAGCACGATGGTTACCGTGTATCTGTGTGCCAGACTAAAGCGCAGTGGACGCTCATCATGAGATTGTTTGATAGCTTCAAGGAAATCCTGGCCGGAAACGATGATGGCTAGGTTGGTGGGTGTGCGTCCGAGGATAATGCTCACTCACATGCTTTTTGGACCACCATGAGCGCGATCTGTACGACTTACCTCCCTTCCAAACGTCTGTACAGCCAGAGATCTTGGCAGAATGGGCGAGCTTTTGCCCTTGAGCAACCTCCAATCTGACTCCTCGGTGCCCAACTTCACTTCTATATTCTCAGTAGAGGATGTTGCCAACTGAGTGCTGAAGCCCAGCAGCGATCCATTGCCTAGTTGACCGGCAATTGACGCTCTGTGTTTTCGCGCCTGTCACGAGAGAACCGCAACCTTCAGATTTGCCGGCGCATGGACAGAGCTTTTGGCGCCGCGGCCAAAGCATAGAATCGCCTGTACTGGGCGACCATCCTTCTATCCGCCATGCGCAAACTGGGCTACTTCGACTTGGAGACCGACGGACCTCCTGCTCTTGTTGTAACGCAATCTAAACCTGCCTGTTACAAAGACGCTCCCTCCCACTTTCCGTATCAGCAAACGCACATCTTTACTAATCATGCCTTCCACACTTCTCAAAACATCCATCTTCCTCGCCTTTCTCCATTTCACCAGCGCCCGACCGCAAACCCAAACGCAAGCCGGCTCCTTCGCCATCGGCGCCGTGGACGACTGGGCCTCCAGCGGCAACTATCTCATCTACTCCTGCGGGTCCGAAGTCCCTAACGTCAAAAACATCCTAGACTCCACCTACCTGTCGCTGCAAACTGCGATGCTATCCACCGACAGCGCCGCTTACAAGGCCTTCTTCCGCACCGCACTTCCCAGTTCCGTGTCCGCCGTGCTCAGTGCCATTGCCGCCGGCACGAACATCACGACCCCAAGCCACGGGTCGCGCCGCCCGACCGTGGTGTGCGTGAACGCAATGGACCCGCAGATCCGCACGTTCTGGACAATCTGCCGGCACTCGGAACATACGGTGGTGATCCAACCCCCGGGGACGGCCCTCGTGTTCCTCTGTCCCATCTTCTTCGACAGAAACCCACTCCCCCAGCCCGCAGACTGCGGCGTTGTGAACCACGCCCGCACGGGACTGATCGCCCACAACTACATTGCCGGGACGCAGTACGGCTTCTTGGTGCAAGCGCTCGCGGAAGTTTATATCCGGGAGACGAGGTATGGAGGGAAGGCGGTAGGCGGGGACGTTCGGGACGAAAATGCATGCCTGGCGCTACCGCCTAGTCAAGCCTTGATGAACCCGAGCAGTTATGCCTTCTATGTCTCGAGTAAGTACCAGCCCTCCAATCCGCTCGAATCCCTTCGGCGGGAGATGATGATGATGACGCTGATGCGAGTGCGTGATCAAGACCTTCGAGCCGGATGTACGCAGTTTCCGTCCCGGGTGCCGATCAACATGGACAGGGAGTTATTGGCGATTGACGGAGCTGGTGGCGGAAATGTGACGGACGTCTTGACGAATGGTTGCTTCGATGTTGGAGCGAACTCGACGACTTGCCCTCTGTGACCGAAGACGCTGCTCGCGAGCCTCTATCCGGTCGGGTCCGAGGTACCGGGAATCCGAGAGCCCCCGTGCTGGAAGCTTCCTCATGCCCACACGGTTTATTATACCAGAGCCACGGTGGAAAGCAGTACATAGCTTGTGCAGCGCACAGCGACCAGCGGCGTTCGGAAACTCTTGCCCAAAAGTCATCCTCTTGGTCTGTTCTTTACAGAGTTTTATCCTACGCATTTGTGCCCCAGTCAATCTTCATCTAGCAAAAATCTCCATCCAGCAAAACATCTAACCTCAAGAAGAATCATAACCACAGGTAAAAGACGGTAGTAGGAATCCATCCTACATTAAATACCCGCACATTCCACCCCGCTCTCACAACAAAACGAACCGATCACTCTTAGAACCCGGCATCAATGCTCCACGAACGTCTACGTGGCTCTGCGCTGTGAGTCTATTCAAAGCACGAAGATTTCCTCGACACTCGCCTTTCAATCTCCCACCCATACCTTCTCGGCTCGTGAAGTAACCAACGTGCCCACTGCTTTTGGATCCAACCGCGTCCGTAGATCAAGGACAGAACGTTACATAATCCCACAAAAGGATTGCAATTCGAAAAATCCTTTGGGAACAAAACCCTCTAGCCTGCGAATGTTTGAAAAAATCCCGAAACTTCGGGGAGTAAACTACTATTCGGACCACGATTCAGGCACCGCCCCAGGAGTTCTCGGCAGACTGAAAGCTCACGCGCCGACCGTTTGGCAAATCATTCGAGGATCGTCCCATTGGCTCGTAGGGTTTTGATGATCTCAAAGCGTTAGAGGCTGTGCGTTAAGAGGGTGGGTGACCCACAAGCCTTTGACCAGACCTACAGCGTGGGAGCCCATCGTCGATTTGCGATTCCAAAGCTCCAGAGGGTATCGACGTGGCGCCTGATTTGGGGAGTGGGCCGTGATGAGTTATGAATGCTGTGCGTGCGCATGTCTAGCTCTGCGCTGTGAAAGTAGGGATGGCATGCCAAGTTTCCGGTCGAATTTTGCCACTTGAGTTAGGCTTACTCGTAGGATAGCTCATTTTGTATTTTCCATCTTGATGTCATCACCATTACCCGAGTTACTGCCTTTTGCAGCCATTCATCCGGGGCTCGTCCATAACCTACGCGAAGCCACTCTTCCTTTTTACGGGCGTCTCCGGTCCCAGATCTCCCACCACTTCAATCGTACATGACCCTCTACGTGAGGCGCACAGCGTGCGCCAAACCTACCAACCTCGATATCGCGAGGCAAAGATACCTCTTACCAGCCAGAGGAAGGCATCGCATTCTCCACGTCCCGCCCCAGAAGGATCGCAAGTACCATATGAAATTACCTCTTCGAGATCTCCGTTCGCCTGCTCGAATTGCTACTCGCACCGTCTCGAAACAAAACCCACGATCTTTGAACTGGCCTGGCTTTGTGTCCGCTCTCCTCACTAAGGGGTGCCTCTTCAGAACAGAACACAGCCGGGAGAATGGACGAGGATGAGATGAGCTTCGTGTTCCGAAAACGGTGTTTGACTTGGGAGTGTTGGTTCGACATCGTTTTCAAAAGCCGTTTGCCCTACCCCAACAATCACATGTTTTCTGGCATTGATGCTGCTCGCCGAAAAGATCTCCAATCGTATTTCACACACGGCTTCAACTTGAATAGGTCTCGTGATCCCCCACCAACGAGCCCTTCCGATCAAGTGTCAGCGTCCCATCATCATACACGAAGTGATCAACATGAGACGGCTCAAGTGGAGGCAGCGATAATCAATCGATACTGACATCCCTCCAACTTGCTTCCTTCGAGCCATTGCCATAATGACATACAAGCAGACCGTGCCGAAAGGAGGCAGCGATAATCAATCGATACTGACATCCCTCCAACTTGCTTCCTTCGAGCCACTGCCATAATGACATACAAGCAGGCCGTGCCGAAATAATGAAATGAAACAGCAGAGTGGTTCCAGAAAGGCCTCGAAAAAGACAACAGCGCCTGGTGTCCGCTCAAAGACGAAAAAAGGACCACGCGCAGGATGGCCGACAAGTCGGAAAAGGAGCCGCAGGGAGTCCCAGCATGGCCGGGTCAAACCAATAACAAGTCTGGATCTCAGGGGTTACTCGATAATTCCGGAGGCTTCTACTCATTCCAACCAGGGATACGTGAGAAGCCATAAGCTTTATGAAGGGCGGCCGAGAAAGGGGTGGTGCGGAGGTAGGGCCCCAAGATGCTTCCATCCTGGGGGCGCAGGCGGGAGGAGACGGCAAGCTTGCATTGAGGAGACACATGTTCACTGGCCTGCCAGTCCCTCCCGCTACCGACACCCTCCACTCGACCCGGGATCTACAATTGTGGAAACGTTGTGAAGGTAATGTTTTGTGGCTGCGGCGGGACTATAATGGAAAATATCCTGATGAGAGCATGTAACATGCGGGGACTGCGCATGAGAGACAAGAGCCGAGAAAGAGGAATGAGGAGACGAAGAAGCATGGAGGAGAAAGTGAGAGGAAACGCGGTGGATTACCAAGATTGTTCGGTAAGGGAAATATGGGGTAAATGTAGAGTCGGCTGATATGCTCGCGAGAATGGAACGACCAAAGTGTTTGTGAGTTGGTTGGTCACCGCTAGCATATCCCCATTTGCGGTCATACCCTATCAATTAATTAGTACTCATCTGACCCAGGACCAAGTAGGGAAAGAACTCGGTCTAAGTCCACGAATAGGCATCTCCAAGAAGCTTCCAGCCTTTCTTGAGCCTTCCTGATAGCTCAATAGCAAAAGCGGAAAATGGAAGTAAACTTTACTAAGGGGCACTAGTACTTTCCATCTGCCCAAAAGACACACTTGCAGGTACGGTTGAGTATCTGTGTGGGCATTCAGTTCCCCGCCCGATAGCTGAGTTGGTGATTGCTAGGCCTCTGCTACTTTCCATAGTTCTAAAGAAACACCACCGTAAAGCGCGCAGAACTCCGGCGAGTGGGGACTTGTGATCGACTAGGTTAATGACTTCTCGGTCTTCTCGTTGTTGAAGGCCGGTGCACGTTAGTTCCACCTGTAGGCCTTGTTCTAGGTATAGATTGATGAGAATGACGTCCTGCGATTAGCCCTGACAAATGGTACACTGCGGACTCTAAACCAACTTACTTGGGTGCGAGTTTTCAGCCGTTGCCATTCAAAACTGCTCTGGACTAGGTTGAATAGGTAAACGCTCATTGTGGAAAACTCCCAGAGCACGTGACTGAGCCCTATGAGTACAGGTCTTGGCATAGAATAGCGCTAGGTGATTTTATAAGCGCAGCTGACCACCACCACGAGTGATGGAAACAGGGCTTGGATAAGACTTAGGCGCAGGAACCGAGGCTTACTTGTCCCTCTCAAGAGGGTCCTGCCATGCCGTCATTGATCTAGCTAGCTCTACCTAATCCAAGACAGCACGCAGTCAAGTCAGCACTTCCACAAGACCCAACCTCCACTAAAAGCTTTACCATCATGGGGCACTACACCGTAATCCATGCCACACCTAGCGTTGAGAACTACATCTCTCTTCGTGCCTTCACTGGCCTCACCCCAAAGACCCTACAAGCTGCGACTGTCGGACTCGCGAACACCCTCTTTGCAGTCCAGATCGCCCAATCCTCCTCCCCCAATACCATCCTCGGAATGGGCCGTATGATAGGCGATGGCGGCTGTTTCTTCCAAATTGTCGATGTTGCTGTTCTTCCGAGACACCAAGGCAAGGGTCTCGGGAAAATGATTATGAAGGAGCTGAAAGACTGGATGAATAAGAATGTACCCGAAAGTGGCACTGTGCTGTTGTTCGCAGATGGACGGGCAAATGAGCTGTATAAGCAGTTCGGGTTTGTGGAGACGGCAGGCTTGACGCCCTCGAGTGTGGGAATGGCTTGCCGTTTTTGAAGAAATGAGAAAATTACTATGTTACAGGTAGGGAAACAGTGGCGAAAGCTCTGGTCATGTTTGCGGCACAGCAACTCTTTTGCTCATGGTGGGCTTTTCAAGCTCTACGGGTAGAACACTTGTACTGGTGCTTGTACGTGACTACCATGGAGTCTCACTCAAGATAGCGAAAAAGTTCTCAACCAGCGGAGCAAGTCGGCTTGTGACCATTGTGTATCTCAAGAAGCACTCGAATCCCTTATCGCCCATACTACTACTTTTCGTCCTCGGTCTCTGTTAGGGCCTCGGGTTGGTGGTAGGAGTTTGTATAATTCGATCGCTTGTACTCACAGTACAGCTCTAAGCTAACACGCAGCCGGCATCGCCGCATCCTACGGTCATCTCTTCATTCTGCTCGTCGAGATCTTTGCATCTCTCCGAGGAAAAAGCAGTGGACATGGATTTCTCCACTTTCTACTGACGCTCGAAAGGAACGGAATAGCGTGGGGGCTATCGCGCTTGTCGGAGCATAAAGATGGGGGGGTTCACCTCTAAAGATAGGTCGTCGCCGCTGTCTTGCCGGATCTTTTCGGCATTGAGTTGCGCAATATTGTTTCAAGTCCACTTAAAGGTATTGCGCCACAATGAACGATCTGGAAGGCAGATAAGAGGGTTGCACGTGGGTCTCAACGAAAATCGATTGATCATCAAGACCCCCACGCATATATCGCGCTTCAACGTACCCTGCATGATTGATCGGCCGCATCTTGCATACATTTATCATTGACGCGCCTATTCGTGAAACGGGAAAATCCACAAAACCCTACATGCTCTTCTTCAAACACGATGGATGCCGGACTTACTAAGGTGAGCCCTCATTATTACCACACAGGTAGCTTATCTGCATGCTTGTCTCAAGACCAATGGGCTTTGAAACCGCTACACCTCTCTCGGCCGTCCCAACTGATCACCGATACCCGGAAAATTCGATAGCGAATGACTACGGACATATGCAGACGAATGAGAGCATCGTAGGAAGCTTCCATGTGAAATTACCTGCTACACCGCAAGTCCAAACTCTAGCAAACAACTAATTCTGGAATATCGTGATCCACTTTGAGTGTATCATGTTTGCATCCCCCGTTTCTACCCCTATGATGCGTCATTTGTAAGTTCGCCATTGTTATACTGCTTTGAGTGTTCGTGTTTTTCCTAGAAGAACCCTGTGCTGCTTGACCCAACTCTCCAAGTCACTCTTGCCATGCGCCAACACCAACTGTCAATTATTATTATTTGCTGCTTCGCTCTACACGTCTTCGCTGTAGCTGGGTTTGTTGCGCTACCTGGGCGGCCTACTGATCTTTCTCTCAAAGACTACACACCTCGAAGCAAAAGGCAGCCTTTGTCCACCCCAGAGCAGGGCAGCATCGATAGCGTATCAACCCCAGGACAGCAAACGCAGAATGCCACCAGCACTGCAGGCGAAGGGAATGGTACAGACCCGGATCCTGGGGTCATAACAAATCCTGCGGCGACACCAATATCTGGTGAAGTGAATTGTACGGACGTAACCACAGGGCGAGACAACAAGTGCTGGGGGCAACTAAAACTTACCAAATGGGTGGAAGACTGGGTGGACACTAACGCATGCTATACGAGCGAAGGATTTGCGTCTTGTTTCTTGAGAAAGGAAGGCTTTCCTGGACTGGACTGCACGGGAATCAAGATCGATACATGTACATCCCCACAAGGCGACAATGTTCTGAAGGAGCCAGAGGTGTTTTATGTTGCGTACAATATCTATGGTGAGTACCTATGTCCTTTGAAATTGAAAGTAGAAAGGCATATTGACATCTATGTTAGCGATTAATCAATTCTTCCTCTCATGGTGGACTGCAGTCGGTGATGCGGCGAGCATGGCAACCGATAATGTCGGAGAGATAGTCCAGTTGCTAGATCCTCTCAGCAGTTCAAATGCTGTTCTAGACGATGTGCTCATCACTCTGACAGGTATCTTTGCGCTCGTGCCTGGTCTCGGATACCTCGTGGATGAGATTGAGGGTTTCACTGAAGGATGGACCGCCTTTGCGCAAATATTAGAAAACGCTCTCTTCGTCATACCCCAAATCGGGCGGTGGATCTTCCCTATCGACTCAGCAACGTCGCAAGTGATACAGATGGCCGATCTATCCACGCAAATGGGCACCATCATCCAGACGGTGCAAGACAACCTGAACAAGACCCTCGTCGACGTCATGAGTAATACAACTATGTTCCTCGCCTTCGCCAGTCAAGGCAATTTCTCCGCCTCCGCACCATCTCTACCAGACCAAACAAACTACCTCCTCTACGCCTTCAACACCTACATAATATCGCAAGCCCTCACCGGCAACAACGTCTACGGCGTCATCGGTCTGAACAGCAACCCGCAATCCCTCTCCTTCAACGGCACCAAAACCAACTCCGCGTACGACTTCTCCTCCTGCCAAGGCTACAACGAGCAAAACGTCTGCGACGCGTGGTGGTTCAGCGGACGCTACGGCTCCGCCTTCGGCCTCGATGACTTCAGCCACATGAACCGCAACTACGGAGACGTGCTCACGACGCTCTTCACCAACTACACGACCGGCCAACTCCTCTTCGACGGCGCCTACGCTTGCAATGCCAACGGCAACTACGGACAACCCGTCAACGTGACCGTCAACTCCGCCGGTGTCAACACGGGATGTCTTTCGCAACTGAGGATCCTGACGTGGGACATGAGCTGCGACGACCCTCTGCATCGCACGAGTCCTGGGTGCGAGTTCCTGGAGGCGCCGAGGCAGAACACGTTTTTTGGAGATTGCAATTCGCATTCTGCGTACAGCGTGATGGATCAGCCGGTCTATTGCGTGCCGTACAGCTATCTGGGACCGTTGGTTACGCAGAATGACATCCAACTGAAGCGGAGTTAGCGCCGTGTTTTGTTCAGTGTCCCATTTTTGTATAGAAATTTTGCTCACGCGAGCACATGGTGGAGAATCTACTCGTATCTTAGGCATCCGTTGTGGTTTTAACCTTATTCATGATGCTTGTAACTTACAATGAACATCGCTGGCAGTCAATTCAGCATGCGCCTGATAGAAGCTTCAAATCAAGCTCTTTTGCCTGCTGGCTCCCGGCCATTTCAGAAATGCCGCAATCATACTCCCATTGGCGCGATAGGGCCCGATTACCCCCTTGCAGCACAGGTCGCTAGAACGGAAAACACCTTACAAGCGCTACAACCAGCCCCAACCATCCCGCGAGACCACATCTACAGCTACACCATTTCCTTTGCTGCTCGCTCTTTCCTCCCTTTCGAGACCATATATTCATGTGTTGCTTATATCATTCGCCCCCGTCGACTCGCACGCGTGATTTGGGGCTGGAGTACAGGGTGGTTCTTTCTGAACATCTATAGACGACAACACTTCCACAATGGTCTCATAGCGGGGTCCCAAATGATTCCGCGGGGCCACTGCGATTACTATATGCTAAAGAGGAGAAGTACTATTTAGTCCGAGTCTTTTCAATCACATATATTCCTTTGAAGTGTCTTCAACGCCAATCGAGAAGTGCCATCTTCTTCCCCGCTATGACTGGAGTTGTCTTTATTGTCATTTGAGAAGTTCCCATCCCCATCCTTGTTATGACCGAGGAGTCTGCTTCGCCGTTTTCTTTTCGTATCGTAGTGAGACCTGAGTCCTCGTTCCTATCGTAGTAACGGGACAAATTCTCGTCGCCACGTACTCGCCTTCCACTCGCGCTTCAGAAATGCTTGTTCATGGTCTTGCGATAAATACGGAGTCTGATCTAAGGGTTCAGCAAGCAAAAGAATCTTCGACATTGTGACAATGACTTACGGGAAGACAATGTTTAAACAATACTGTTCCAAGTGGTCAGGGCGCAATGAGTCTCCGAGGTTGGTTGAATCAGGATCAAGGCAGTAGCTTACTGCCTCGGTGATAGTATTCTGTCCAAACCTTTCTTCAGCATGCCCAACGTTTACCGGTAGCAATTTCTTCGCCAACGAGATAAGTAATGTCTTCCTGCCCTTAGATCACGCTGATAGGAAGCGCAAGGCCAATCTCAACCAACGCGAGTCCTGAAAATTCGAGCCGATTATCTGCAAGCTTTGAAGCATGACATTCTCGGTACCGATGGGATCTCTTAGGATAGGGCAAGAGTGAGTGACGCGTGCAGGTGTTTGCCAGGTGAGTAGAGCGGATTCCGCAAGTAGATAGATCCCAAGACTAGGGCGTATATCATAACAAAACCATCCAGTGACGAAGTCTATAAATCAGGTCGGTACGTTCCAACCCAAAGCTTTTGCGATAGTCTCCGGTAAGCTTTCCTTCTGTGAACTTTTTTCTTAATGGTCGTGAAGCCCAAGAACCGGTCGTATACAGAATCGTATCCACACTGCCCATGGCCAAGAACACGTCCATCGACCATCCTGCTATGAAAGGCAGATCCTCGTCTGTGTAAGCCAGGTGTGCCACCGCAAGCCACGAACTCGAGATGCCTAAGTCTGCACGTCAAGAGCTGTGTCTCTCACGATGAAGTCAATATATATCGCGTCCACCTCTGACCACAAACCCAGAGAGTTTGCAGCCTCTGGGGGACCCAACTCTATTGCATTCTAAGATGAGAGATGTCCACCGACTAACATAGGAAAGGTTCCCATCATTGGCGATCAATGAAATGTAGCGCAGAACAAATAGACATCTGAGATGCTCGATGATCTTGGTCAGAAGTGTTTGTACCTGGCATGAAAACTAGGAAACCCTGGATTGATAAAACAACGGCTGAAGTATGGGAACTGTGTAGAAATATGGAGAGGACAAAAACCGTACTACAATTCGCCGTTGTTGGACATCAAAAAATGATCATCCGGCCACTAACACAGCACCCGAGGGTTAATGAAAACTGGCAACATGTTTGGTAAGATGTATCTCATCAAAATATCATGTACCTCGCCGTCGAACACAGGCTTAATCACATCGAGCCGACGTTGGTAGACGCGGGTTTAATACAGATTTGCAACCAATACAGACTTGCAACCCGGGTTCAACTTGACAGCATTGCATCTTACAGTAGAACATGGGTATAAAGCCATTGTTCGACTTCTGCTACATTGCAGAGCCCGTATGCAAATAAACCGCGAGGATACTTTTTTGACCTTTCCGTGCAGACAGAGCCACAAAAAGTGTTTTGGTGCATTATAGCCTTTTTTTACATAATTGGGATCATGTCCATTCCTCGGATCCAGACATCGATTGAAGGATGGAAGAGAATGGCCTGCCGGCAACTTGACTTGGTTCGAGTGGTTTGAAATCTGTGGTGGTACTTGGTGGGCAGGAAAGGAGCGCTATTTATTAAGCATGAAGAATCAGAAAGCGAGGAAAAGGACTTCGAATGTCAAAAGATTAATTAGTCAACTTAAAAAATGCGAGCAAAAAGTATTTCGAGCCGTAGCAATATGGTTAACGGATACCGCTTCAAGCTTCCGTCGTCAAAAGCAACATTTCACGCACCAGAAAATCCGTCAATAAGTCCCGCCATACCAATATTCGTCCCCTGGCTCCAGATTTGGAGTTGCAACATTCGAGGCTCATCTCTCACCTGGTGGTAAGCCATTGGTCTGCGTCGTTGTCCCTTAAGAGCGGGCGGCGCGTTGTGCAGAGGGTGTACTCCGAAGAGCAATGCCAGATGGTGCTCCCGTCGCCCGGTCTTGATGTCTAAAGCCATCTTGGCTCCAATGAGGCTGTCGAGAATGGCCAGCTGAGCCTCTAGAACTCGCCTGGTCAGTATTCGTGCAACGCTCAGCCACTTCCTCTCTTCTTTCTCTGGTACGGTCGTCGTGTTGAAGTTGTGCCGTGTTCTCTTCTTCGGTGCTGCGTCGACGACTTGGCTCGTCTCGCTTCATTCCACTGTTACGGTCTTGTTTCTGGGCTGTATGTTTTCGTGGAGCGATTTTTTCTTCGCTCGCTTGCTGTCTGTCAGCTTCCTCTTCCGGATGCATGTCCTCTCTGTGCGATCTTCGGTTGCTGCCAACTTCTTGGTGGGCTACAAGTGATCGAGTGTTGTCCTTAGAATGCTTGTGAGTTCTCCGATGATCAGTGCTCGGGTGCACTGAAGGTTCCTGCCGCTTTTCGCCTAGAGACATAGAAAGTTAGTACTGCAGAGTCGTAGAGAGGTCGGTGTAGGTGATGTAAAGACTGTATAAAAACACTGATAGCGGGGATTTGGAGTATGAAGTGCAAAGAGTGTCTTACCATCACCCATAAGTGATACGAGCTTGCGCTCTCTCGCATCACGCTCATTCCGCTCTGCGATTCTGGGTAGCGCAAGCTTCAAACCCTTCAGCACGAGTTTAGTACCAGGCCCCTGATCGGGCAGCGCGTGCTTCAGGCCCTTCAACACGTTTTTCGCACCAGGCCCGTGTTCTGGCATCGTGGTGGTAAAATTGAGAATAGGCCGTTTTCGATCTTGGTGAGTTTACTGGAATAAATTTCTTGGGCAGCGATAACAATGGGCACTAGAAATTATCGTAACGACAATGTTGTGCGAGATAGAGATAGGGGGGGATTGCAAGCAATTTAGTAAGTACTTATAGCACGCCTTTGTAGTAAATCTTTGTAGCAAGTCTTTGTACCGAGTCTTTGTGGCAAGTCTTTTGAAGTGCACAAGAGAACCTAGGGCTTGTACCTGTACTGGTTCTTTACGTTGAACAACATTATTCCGGTCATGGTATGAAAGTCACATCTTCATTGTGTTAAGATCAGTGTTATGTTCCCATTAGCGTGTTAGGCCGTCACAGTATATCACACATTGAATTAACCTACTAGTGCTGTGCCTTGGAAGGTGTCATTTAAATGCAGCCTTTGTGGGAATCAGAAAATCAATGGGGCATAGATATGCGAAATACCTGAAGTGGAGACTCTCGTGGTCTGCCAAAGAAAAGAAAAAGGACTTTAAAAGACAGATCAAGTGTTCAGACTACCTTAGGCCGCCAACCTGGCCTTCTGGACCACTGAACGCCTTCTGTAGTTGAGTAATTGGACCCATGTTTTTAGTATTTTCGGGTAAAAAGCCTAGCGCTGGAGCTGACCGGTCCGACCAATTGGGAGGGAGAGGTGACCCATGCTTGCATGTAGAACCTGGTCCAGCTGTAGAAACGGGTCCACCTGTAAGGGAAATCTATAAAGAGGAGATACTCCCCCGCCGCTGTCAGATTTCAATAGACAGCCTTCTCTTTCTACCCTTGCTGCCACACAGCACACACATCAATCGCCGACACTGCTCATCCTTACCATTCGTCACTCCCGCCGAGCACATGGTCGTCTGACGGGACAACACCACCTCGGCTTGATCTTCACCCTTCGCGCTCGCTCAAGGAGCCCCTTTCCCGTTTGCGCAGCAATAATGGACGTTGTGATGTCGGAATTCGCAGACATTTTGCCGCAGGCGATGCATTTGTTAACGGGAGTGAGGGGGACGCGCCGGATGTCGATGGAAAGTACCGCGTCAATGGGAAGCACATCTATGTGATCTGGTCAAGATCGACAATTGACTCGAAAGAAGAGTTCCATCAGAAGCCATTGACAGTACTCCCGGCTGGAGTCCGCATGTTCGGCTGGCGCGAAGTGCACCAGGATGGTACGCAGGATTCATATGGGGTGTTTTCTTTCAAGGAGAAGGCTTATTGGCCCGATGCCGCGAAGAAGTTCTCAATCGAAGGAGATACAAATGCCATTCGCTTTGAGAAGCGGAAGCCTCGAAAGCGTGCGGGCGGCTTTTTGGAGAACACTATGGCATATTGTTCGAAGGACGGCGACGCGTTTGGAGAGATGTTGTCGCCGGAAGGCGCGGTAGCGGAACAGAACATCGACGAAGTGGACGAGGAGAAGGAGTGGCCGATGATCCGTAGCCCGGCCTTGGAAAGGGCACTGTCGAGGACGAAGCGGGCGAAGCTGCTGTCTACGGCGGGAGAGTGACCGGCGGGAAAGTTTCGAGTGCCGAGCATCATGTAGATGTGGATGGACAAGTTTGTTATCAAACAACAATGGAAAGGGCGACCGAAGGGCCTTGTCATCATTGGAGACCCGATGGTGGGGAATTCGGCGTATGCGGAGTCGGAGGGGAACCCGATCGTGATGAATTGAGGTTGGTGTTCAAAGAGTATTTTCCCTGGCGCAACACACATCGTTGTGAGTGACGTGAAACCGGCGGCGTGTGGGCATGCAGGGAAACCACATTGGCGGATGTTCTTGGAGGACAAGAGCGGTTCAATTGTCGCGATTTCCAGCAAGAAACACGTATGGTCGAGTGGGGCTCGCCGTGCATTTGGACGTGTAATTTTGATAAAGATCCTCGGAAAGACAAGGGGGCGGCGGAGTACATCCAGCGTGTTAGCTGCGTGGTGGAGATTAGGGATACGCCGGCCGAGCACGGCTGGGGCAAATTGTATGAGCCCGAGGATGTGGAGGCCTTGGAGGAGGCCAGTCTCATTCTTTAGGATTCCCTTGGAACGCTGAAAAGTGGAAGGCGAGGACACTTTTTGCAAAAGAGAAGGCCAGGATGAATAAGCCAGCCTTTCTTACTCCCCTATAGGCCGATTGGAACTGACAGGATACGTCACGTTCCACATTTCGCTAGAACGCAGAGTTCAGCTGGACCAGGTTGACACAACCGCAGGAAGAGGCCTAGTGCTTGAGCTAACCGGAGGCGAACCACTCGGGGAGTGGAGTGGTTGATAATGCTTGCATGTGGTTCTAGCTGTGAAAATGGCTCCCGCTGTACAGGACGTATACTTGAAGGTCCCCCCCCCGCGGTTTCTGCAAGATATAAATGATTCTACTCACTTCACTGCTTTCTTTATTAGCAACGATTGGGTATCACCGCCGCCGCTGCGAATACTGTATACATAAAAGGCAAGGACCATTCTATAGGAGTTGAAGGAATTCGATCATCTTGTTTGAAGGTACTTATGGTTTTAAGTGCTTCTATTGGCGTCGTTGACCTGCAGTATAGATCCTCGGTATCTTGATCTTCTCGATCTATCTGAAAGATGAGAAAGTCTCTTTTAGCCGCTATGGCACCGTTTCCCCGGGCTCGGTGGATGTAAACGGGACTTGTCAAGCCGAGATGAATGAAAGACATACAGATGACAGAGAGCGCTGAGCGAGAAATGGAAGCCGCGCAAGGTGAGGTTGTGCCTGGAAAAGAGGTGGGAAAGATGCAGAGAGGGAACGCAAAGATGCTAGTCGTGGGTAAAGTCTTTGAGCATCCTGCCTTTCACGACTGACCGCGAGTGGTATCCGGGACTGCCAAGCAGCGAGATGACCTACGAGGTGTTGTACGAGACATTTTGGATGATGGAGTAAAACTACTGGAACTGAGATATCGGCCTGAAGATGAATAAGCACAATGCTAGCGGATCAATAGGTACTCACGGAAGTGGAGGTTCATGCAGCAACCGCCCTAACTCGGAAAAGGTTCTCGCATTCTGCTTACGAACAACATCGGTCACTCGCCGTTACTTCTACCATCACATCACCCTGATCGATGGCAAATATGGCTCCTGTCCGAGGTATGCCATGTACACATACAACACACCTGCAATTTAACAAGGCCGCAAGTCCGTGACGAAACGAGTCATCATACCTGCAGTGCACCTACCTGCCTGCAGCACACTCACCTGGGGCACGTCAATTACGGAGCACATTTGCTGTCACGCTCATGGCTGAGGGTATGCAAGGATCGTTGTTCGGCTGATGGGTTCATTGGCCCCATGATGCTGCGGCATATAATTAGTTGCAATTATCGTACGTGCGAGTGGATTTGATCTATTGCCTCAAACGACTGGCTGATTTTTTGAGCGTGGATCATATCGATGGTAACAGACGAATGGCATAGGATCGTGAAAAGTCGGTCATTCGTTCTGGCTAATGGGTCTAGAATGCTTTTACACCGGCAGGTCATTCAAGACTTTCAGTTTGTGGACATCTGCAGAAACACCATCAGCACCGCGGAATACCTGTGTGAGCGTCAGTCACAGAATCTTGGGCTTTTCACTGCGGTAAATCTGGCAGCGCAGAAATTAAAAAACACTAACGCAGCAGCGGCAGCCAAACTTTCAAACGGTTTTGTCACCGTGGTAACGGACACCAAAGCAACAAATAACACGATGAAAGCCGATATAACGCCGAGTCTTTGGACCAAGCCTCCCAGAAAAGCTAGGATCCACAGCGGCGCGATAAGCATGATCAGGCCCAGGGTCATGATGATGGTAGCGGTAAAGCGGTCTATCTTTTCGTCGGAAATGTAGTGTATATGCTTATCGTTGAGTGTAGTACTGTCGAATGTTTTCTGTTGCCACAATTTGAGCAGACGGAAGTGAGAAGAATGTTCTAGCAACGACCGAAGTGGGCTCTTTGGTGTTGGCACGAGAGAGAAGAGATCCGACGGATATTTGGTATAGGCGGTTTCCTCAGCCAATATCGCATTTCCGTTATTGAAGAACCAGTTGTCGAGACTGCAGATGTCTTTCTTTGGGACTTGTGGACGCGCTCGAATTCGGGAGTGCTGGAGGATGAGTTCATCTAGAATGTTACAGTCAATGTCTGCTTGTAGGGGCAAAACAAACAGGGAGCATAAGCAGCGCCTATGTATTTCTGGGGTGTATTCGAAGCAATTTGAATCTCATAACGGGCCTTCTTATCAGACCGCGGAAGAGAAATGCCAGGACTGACTATACTCCCGAAGTAAAGGCTGGGCTTGGCCCACAAGAGCCTGTCGGTCTTTTCGAGTCTCCTGTCTGAAAGATCCATTGTGTACATCTGGTGCATCCTTCTCCCGTGCCGTCTTTTCCAATGCTTCCAAATCTTGTTCCAAGCGCGAGAGCTGATCCTGCAGTCCCAGTAGGACTCTAGCACTCAAGGCACCAAACTTCCTTAAAACAAAGAAGTCGTTGTCGGAAGCGACGAATGCTGAGAAGGATTGGTAGCCAGTATACTTCCAAGGTTTCCTATCGATGTCTGCTTGACTTGGCTCCCACGCTGAATCATGGCTCTGCATGTTGTTGGACAATCTTGCAGAAGGTACACTGGGTCTGATCACAGTCTGCCCTGCAAACGTAGACGGACCTCGACTTAATTCTGTAGGAGGGATGTTAGGATCACAGAAACAGGGGGTCACAGAAATAGGGGCAATTGGGCAGTGTAATGTATTGCTTGAACTGTGTAGCTATCTAAGAGCTATCTCCCTGTTGAAATTATTCCCATGTCAAATGACTAAGTCATATGTGGACTAGTGTGGTTTCCGGGCTGACAATGCACAGCCTCTTCTTACCCCGCCTCGAAATTATGACAAGGCGCAGGCTGCGGCTGAACTGGCGTCGTATCTATCTTATATCACATCTGTCAAAGAGTTGCGGTCTTTTTGCATAACCAAACATTGACATCATCATTGAGAATCAAGACTATCACCCTATAGTCACCAAGGAGCATCTTGCATTGCAGAGTAATTATGCCTGAAGTTGCGAAAAATCCTGCGATCCACGAAGTAGGAAAGCTGTCATCCCCCGCTGCCGGAGAGGTGACAAGGAGAAAGATGACAATGCCAAAAGCGCAACCTCCTCCACCATTCATAGTAACAAATAGGGTGGATCCCAGCAGTCATGTTGGAGCTTACAACTCAACAATGTCAAATTCTTCAGAGCAGTCCACTATCTGCGGCCTCTGTGGGAGTGATAGCAATGCCAGTAATGGGTCTCAGTACCGTACCCTCAATGGATGGGTGAATATGTGTGCCAAGTGCGAAAACCTCAGATTGAGTTCCAGCGTGAGTATTCTCTTTTCGTATGCTTTGCCGGCGGCTTCGTATGCTAATTTGTGGATTTCCAGTAGCCTACTCGACACGGATTGGGCCAAAGCCTTTACGTCAATGGGCCAGTGGCGCGGGAGTGGATCCAGGATCTTTCGAGATCCAGGAAGTCCTCAGCGATGGAAACTGCCACTTTTCACGTCATGGCAGGCTCGAGGAATACATGTATAGATATGAACATCTGCGTTAAAGTACTTGAAAATCTTGCTAGTGTCTCAGCAGCTCACGAGCTGTCTCACAAGACTGAACAAACCAGACCTCTGTTCCATCATGGCAATCTTATTGCTACATCAATACTACGGGATCGCTTAGCTAGGCTATGCCAGGATAAGCCCAGAAAGTGCCAAAAGCCGACCAGCTGGTGCCTCTGACTTCTTCCTTGTGTGTTGAAATTGGCCGGGGAAGACGTTTCTAATGGGAACAGTCGTCTCCCTCCGTAGATCACCGTGATGCATGAATGGGTCGGCAACCGGTGAGGCTGAAGACGCGCGATGTCGTACGAGGCTGGAAGGTTTGTGCTGCGGACGCGCTCCTTCCAAACAAGCGCGAAGAGAGAACACAGCCGGCAAAGGCTTGAGGATACATTGCCCCCAGCAGACAGCTTATCTCTGTACACATGAATGTTTTAAGCTGCTTTGGTCACGAAATAATCGTAAAGATCGCAACCTTACTTACCCCTTGTGTCTGCACCCCTGTCAAACAAGCAACAATGGCTGGGGAAGTGACCAAAAGACAACAGAGGCAAGCTCCCGCAGAGAATCCACCACCTTTTCTTAATGCAGGGGCCTATGGTCTTGGACGAGAGGAGGCAAAGGTTGGGCCAGACATCAGCAAGATCTGCACCAGCACTCCGACAGATAAGACAATGGGGTTTCCATCCAAAGGGGCTTCATTTTGGACAAAAGCAAGAAGAAAAGCGACGATGGGCTACAGGTAATTGGTATGCGAGCGACAAGGAACTTTAAAAGTATGCGCTTTTTTCAAGATATTCCAGTCTCTGCAGTATCCTAATACAAAGAGCAGAAAGTAAACTCCAGCCAACGCTTCTCAAGCCAGTCGTTCAATAGTTACACGACATAAATCATTACGCTCGTCGTCAACGCCCGCAAAATCAGTGTGAGCAAGCGAAGGTGAACAACTCCTCCTCCACCGGAAACACCTCCTCTCCAACTTTATGCTCGTACAGCGCTCTCCACGTCTCTCTCAATTGCTGCGGCAATTCGTATGCCGCCTCCTCATCCCTTAATAGCAAGCGCAGGAGATGCCGCTTCAGCCCCGCGGCCTCATTGTCCACGAACGCGTCTCTTGCATGCATCATGGTCAGGTTGTTGAAGAAGACCATATCTCCGGGCTGCAACTGGATCTCGACTGCAAGTTTCGCAGCGAGAGCGTGCAAGGCGTCGAGCGCGAGACGCTGAGTCGAGGTGAGAGGAGGGAGGGACGGCGGTCGCGGAGCAGACGGGGTTCCTGTGATGCGGGCGCGGGAGAAGTTGATCAGGACGCCGCCGGGGAAATGATTGGGGAAGGCGATAGGGCGGGTATCGAAGGCCTTGGCGGGCGAAGGGCTTGCGAGACAGATGTCAGCGTTCGGTTAGCAATAACCACCGAGTGGCAGCGCGCTGCAGCGACTTCACACCGTGTTGATGCCGGGGGAGAGTCCGTACCTGACCATGGTCCAATTGCTGCAAAGAGCGTGCGCGAGCTCTGGTCTGAGCGATGCGAGCTCCTGGTACACAGCGTTCGAGTCCGCTAGATAGAGGCTACCGCCAGTCTCGCTCCGCGAAACGGTGAAGAGGGACACGATGTCTCCGTTGTCTGTATGAAAAGGCTGTGCGATGGTTCAGTTCCGCATCAAGGGCTAGAACATTGTAGCTCACAATATCTCGGTTTTGATTGGGCGGTCCATGGTATTGGCCCGCCTTGCCATTTTCTTCAGCTGGCATGGATGTGATATGCTCTTGATTACAGGTTAGAATGTTTTCTCATCCTTTTACCAAAGCGTTCCACTAACGCAGAACTGTGTTATCTCCGCCTTCTCGACCAGCCATGCCTCGCTTGCTACCGACATGGCTCGAAAGACCAGTGTGGATGATCACGTTCTCAATGTCGTTGTGGCGAGAAGACCTCAGTCCGGAGATGACCAGGAACTGCTGTGCGCCATAGACGCTATTGAGAACGTCTTTCAATTTGGATCTCAGACCCTGCGTCAAAGGGAAACTTCTGGAGTTGATTGCGTTGAGTGGCAACCCCGAATCTGCTTCACGTTCAAGTGATATGTTGGGCTGGAGTTTGGAAGGGCAGTGCATACCAGAAAAGGATCTCACACTCTCCTCGACATTTTCTATCTCTTCCGGTGATAGATGCCACACGTATGGAGCCTGTCTGGTGAGTGTCTGAAGCCTCTTGAGCGAGACTTCTTGCTCCAGATTAGCGGCATCGGTGATAGAGGGTTTCAAGCATTGATGTGCGGCAGCGGATTTCAACCATGCACTAGATTTGATTGAAGGATAGTATTCTGAAGAATCGTGAGAGTCTATGAGTGCGTGAGGAGCCATATCGGCCAAAGAAATTTTGTGGAAGCACTTGGACCGCAGCTCTCCAGTTGAATAGTCTCATGAGACGACTGATCAATGGCCATATTAAGGGGAACGAATAACGTGGCGCTCCGCAGAGCCGCATCTTGATAGTCTCGCTACCAAAGTCCCCCTCGGCTTGTCAATAAACGCGAAGTTGCGATAGGCCATCCGTTATGGGCCCCCCGCCTTACGCACCGTGAATATGCAAATGCAACGACAGGGATGTTGACAGTATACTGCAGATCAATGCCTAATCAAGACACTCTCCTGCAGCCGTGAGCGAGCCCGTGGGGGTCTAAAGCGTGATTGTGGTTAGTGGTGTGCGTTTTCTTTCCGCCCCCGAACGCGTTCCGAGAAGAAAGATGGAATGTTGGACATGCGATTGTACGTACCACGACTGCACGAAATGACACTAAGAAGGCGATAGCGCAGACACTAACCCCCCTTGGGGGGCAGAAATAGCGCCGATATCCAGACCAACGGTTCGCCTGGGGCACCTTTGGCTAGTGTGTTGAGCTCCTCGTCTACCATGCGAGTTAGCTAGTGTGTGATGGTTGCAGCATGCAACTTACCCCGTGACACCACCAGATCCTTCAGTTGGGTCAGGAAGGCTAGACTTTTGTCGTCCACCATTGCCGCATTCCGAACCTCTTCATTCCAGTCCACCTTGAGAGGTAAATTCCCATGGCATATAGTGTGGAAGTGCGCCATCAAATTTTTAGCGGAATACTCCCAAGACTCTAGCATGCTTTGTTGACGGTGGGTCTAAGAGAAACTTTTAGCGACCTCCCAGAAAATTGGATCATACTACTCACTCTCTCTTGATAATGCTTGGTCTGCTCGAGTTGGTTGTGATAGATGAACTCAAGGTTGAAAAGAAGAACCAGTATGGTCAAGAAGATGTTGAGCCAGTCCTCCCGACCTCGCCGTGCAATCATCGCTCTCAGCTTCGTCAAGACCTTTCTCCTGATGTCAGCCATTCTAGCCATCCACAAAGAGTCAATTTGAGCGTCTAAAAGTGGTGGGATTGGGATGCGGTCGTAGTAGGGGCAGTCAGGGTCCTGCTCCCGCTGTATTCCCAGCGTTTTGGGGCCATATATGTTGAAGCTTTTCGAAGCAAGGCGAGACATGACGGAAATCTTGAGAGCATTCTTAAGCGTTGGGCACTGGATTTCAAAGGTCAGTAAAAGGGTCAATCAATTGTCGAACTGAATCTTACTTTGTCTGCTTGTCGTATTGCTTCTGACAAAGTGCCAACGACGATCTCGTCTTGATCGATCTTGAGCTCGGCTACAAGAGTTTCATAGTGTCTGTCTATCAGCTCATCCATCTTCTTAGCTGCCCCTCTGAGCTGGAAGTCTGTCATAGCATAGGTTGGTAGATGGATGTCAATCTTGTTGGTCCCTTTGGTCCAGCTCTTGCTGGTGCGAACTCCTAGTATTGGAGTGTGTTCGCGACAGACGATTTGCAATCGGGGCCGCGATTCTGGCCTGGAAGATTTATCCGCACTACCAATGTTGTACAGTGACACGGGCACATTGATTCGAGAAGTCCAGGCATCGATGCCAGGAAGCCCTTTGGGGAAGCTCAAAGCCCCTGTGAAAGACTGTCAGTAATGTTCACGTATCAGGCCTGTCACGAACTTCAAGCAACCTTACCTGTTCTATGGAGTAGCGCCTCACTCAGACGCATTCTGACACATGGCATCATCCAGATCCTGGGCATTGTCAGAGCACTACATCTAGGACAGACATCACCTAGTCCACACTGCGGATGTCAGTACTGCCCAAACGTAGCTTTCGAGTATCTCTGTCCGGAACTCACGGGTTCGTGATTCCACAGGCAGCGTAGGCAAACTCCTATCTCCCTGAGCCGGCGGGCCCTCTCCCGTTCATCTTCAGTAAGAGCTCGCCGCTCCTTCTTCACAACTTGGGTTCTCGGATCATTCCTATGTCTTGTGACAAGAGCTGAGGGATCAGACTTTGAGTTGCGTGACTCCTTCTTCTTCGTCTTCGTCTTTTCGGCCAGCTTCCTCGAATATGGAGAATCGTGTCTGCGATTTTGACCACGGTCGTGCAAAGCACTCACACCGTCATCCGAGTTATGTGGCTGACCATGCCCTTCCTGGGCTATTAGAGGTTGAAGGAAGTCGATGTCATCTTGATTGAGGATAATTGTATTTCGAGGATCGTTGATTCCCACCAAAGGATCGATGAGATCAGAGCTCGTAATTTCAGCAGCGGGAGACAAGGGTGGTGGCGTTCGACCATCTGACGTCCAAGATCGAGAGTGCGCCTGAAGCAGGATTGAAGAAGATTGGACTCCGTGACTACCGACAGATGCAGGTCGAGACGCCGAAGGTGTGTATGGGACATCAAGTCTACTGGCTGAAGAAAGGCTGGATCCGTTGAGCCTTGATTGTGGGTCATCCATCCTCGGAACATCCAGGTTCGACTGCGGCGTCATAACCTGCGGCAAGCTCGTACTATGATCTGAAGTCGATGCCTCGAACGATTCTTCTGGAATTGCGTACTCCACCTCGGATCCCTCGCTGGCTGAAGTCTGAGAAGGCTGTCTGGTCCATGGGTCGTAGAAGAAGTTAAGACCTCTGTCGTGCTCGTCAGGATCTGCTGGGGGAATACCGATGAGAGACCTCTCCGAATCTATATCAAAGGCACGAGAGGATTCCTGAGACATGGGATCTTCGGGACTCGACGTGTATCTTGCATGAAACAGACCGTTGGAGTTGGAGGTAGACATGTTGAAGGAAAGTGAAAGTCTTTCTGGCTACCCCTGCAAAGACGTTGCTTTTCGACGGTGTTGCCTTCAATACAGAGTGTCAAAAATAAGTGATCGAATGCCTGGAGAAATTTTTTGCTCGTATACGGAGACCGGTGTGAATTGTGTGGCGGTTAGCGCCGCTAAGCCACGGCTGGACCCACAATTTGTGAACATGGCCACAACAGTGTTTTTGCATCTCCCCCTACCGCAAGGCTCATTCTGCATCAGCCCTGCGTGATGCAAACCTTCTCATCAAGAACGACATGATGATACCGTCTTTGTAACCGCCGCAGCCGCCTCTCCTATTGCTCCGCCGTGCAATTGGGGCGAGGCAGTCTGACTCATCTCGTTGAGTTGCAGTCTGTTCGCGGAGTCAACCATCATGCTGACTGCATGATTGAATTCTAATTCAGGTTGAATTATGTACAATGCTACCTCTGACACTGGTGCGCATCTCTGGAGTGGCAAAAATGCGCTGGAACCAAGGCCGGGATGCCATCCCCGTAAGACAAACCACCGACTCCATCACACACTCAATTCCAGAGGAAAAAAACGACATTAACGTCGTCCAAATTCTCACACACGAGACAGTCCATGTGAGCTAATCTAATCTTGCGGAAGTAAGCAGCGTCAGCTAATCATCATCAAGCTTAGTGTTCCATCGCGCATCCACTCATATGTTAGAACATTATTTGTCGCTTCACCGAAACGGTGTTTCAAGATATCGTTCCGTATGCCCAATTATCTTTTTGGCCAACCTCTCGTAGAGAGTCTATTTGGCGAATGATGCCATCAGTCCTCCAGCGCCTGCTCTGCCGACGGCAAGCTTTCCGGCCAAGCGTGACTAGGGTGTATTTAGGTACCGATTGGAAAATGGCTCCATTGCATCGTGGGCAGAGAGAACAAGCACAACCGGTGACAACGACAGTGTGTCTTAGTTCGTTCTCATTTAGCATAAGAACAGGTAGATGCCACATGGAGGAGGAACAATTGCAATTCACACTTCTTGTAATCAAAGACGATAGCCACTTATATACCCTAAAGATATACCCTTCTTTGCAAACAAGGAGACGAAAATCCAACAGCCAGGATCATGCCTTCCACAAGCACATCGCAGTTGTACCCTTCCTATGCAAGCTCCACAAAGCATAAGAAGACCAAATCTACCATGGCCTCCAACGACACATCGAAATCAGACTCTTCAACAAGCTCCAAAAAGTTTGCAGGTTCCCTGAACAGCCGTAAGATACAATCTCTAAACACGGAGAGGACGACCTGGATTTAATTGATTTCGTCATCAGTCCCAAAGCACAGTCCGCTGCAGGGTTATCGCGATACCAGACCAACAGATGACACTTGGAGCCAATTTACCGCGCGAACGTCCAGCACATCTGCCCTTGGGGACCCCAGGCGATGAGATTTTACGACCCGGGATTAGGTGAGATTTCCGGACAGCTTGCATGATATGCAAGAGACTAACTCTGAGTCGCCAGCCTCTATCACCCGGTCTGCAGGCAAAGCGGGGAATCTTTGGTGAGAGCGTATAGTCGATGCACGATGATCGGGAAATAGGGTGAGAAAAGTTGTGGCGCAGCAAGTGATTGGTTAGTGCCTGAATGGTTTTTAAAGTGCACATTAGCTTTGGCGTTAGGGGACCAGGGACATATTGCCGTTTCGAAATCCGGTCAATACCATATGAAAGAGAAATACCTCATTGAATTCTATTTTCATACGCTTACGCTGATGCGGACCCACTCCGTATTGTGTGAGTTCGTCGCTGGCAAATTCCTCAGCCCCTATCGGCACACCGCAGCTCGTACGCTAGGCCACAGCTTTCGATCAGCCCTTAAAAAGATCGGAGATGCTCGGGGCCACCGCTCGACAAATACCCAAGATAGAGACGTGGTAGCGAAGATGATTGACGTTGTCCAGGATTTGCGCATAGCCTCAAGCACCGCCGTCCAAAATTCGGGTTACACACAGGGGCTCAGGTCTGCGTTCGCGCAGCATCCACGGCGTTCCTAAGGGTTCAAATGAAGGTTTCCTGGGCTTCTTTTCCCTACCAAATTGCATGGTTGCCTGGTGAAGGGTGCGGGGTTTGCCAGATGGTGTAGTTCAAACGCAAAATCTTAACCCATGGTGTCCATCCAGATGACAGTATGACTGTTGCCGGTTATTGGCGCTGCAACATAGCCTCAATTTTTTTTCCAACCCAAACCGCAGCTTGATTGCAGGCTTCACTGGGATCGCAGACGAATAGCGATGACGTTGGTGACCTCTAGAAGACTGTGCCTGGGTGTAGAAATCAGGTCCTCCTCACTCTCAACCACAGTAGTCATCCAGCGACAAGGACTCGGCCGTGACGGGTATGACCATTCGACGGATTGAAAGTCGACCTACTAGATCCATAGAGATCGTTCGGACAACATTGCAGCCACGGCCCTACGTCGACTGTTGACTTGAATGAAAATCGTCGTCTTCTTGGAGCGATCGTGGTCCAGGAGCGGAAGGGACTGCAAATTCGGCACTTCCTTCTAGGAAGCGCATGGATTTCTGAGATTCGCTACCAACGGATAGCTGGTGACGCTGTTGCCACAATAGTCATCTGCCAATGAAAACTGCAGCTCAGCTCGAAAGAACAGTCAGAGCAGAGCGTCAATGACAGGTCGTTTGGCCACATACCTCCTATGTTTCCAATCCTGATCAAGATGGCTAGTATTGCATTCGTGGAGCAGTCGTCATGAAGCGATCGCATTCCAAGAGTAAACCCGACACATCAGGTTCAATGCTCTTGCCATGGACCGATATAGTCTCCACCAATGATACGCCCGCTCAACCCAGGCTTCCTGCTTCTCATTCACTTGCGGCATGTCACCGGGAGACGAATTTCGGCTGGGTTGGCGTCTGGCGACGGCGGCGATTGGACGAATGGCCCGGGCAAGCTTTTGGTACGCTGGCCTTTGACCAATCAGTACTTGCGGGTTGAAATAAAAGGCAGAAAGACATTACCGAAAGAGAGGCGCTCCGGTGGCTCTGACGACGCTTTTCCAACACCTCTTCCAAACCCTGTGGAGGACCTTCTGGCCTAGGCGACGCGCAATTCTCACCCCAGCATTCTGAGAGTCGTGCAACATGGCAGTGGGCGTGGGAGAAGACTTCAAGGATAGACAATCGGAAGCTAATGGTAGGATGTTGCAATATCGTTCTTGTCTAGAATTGACCGTCTCCCTCGCGCACAATTCTTGAGTCAAGGCCCTAAAAAAGCATTGTGCAACAGGGAGGGAGGAGCCTTGGAAAAGTATGGCGGGAGGAGCTCGGGCAACCATTGTCTCAGACCAAAATCTAGATAAGGGATTCCTTTGCTTCCGTTCATCCAGTCACACCGCGCGAACACGTTGATGGTCCGCATTGCGACAATCACACAGCGTCGTGATGTGCATGGCAGGACGAAAGAAGACTAGTACGCTGCGAAGCTATCGAATGCAGGCGCCGCTCATGATCGCCCCCACATAATGCAAGCCATTCAAGGCCCAGATCAAGACCGATGCTGAATATTTCCGCCCTTTTCGCCGAAACATCCGAAGCAGTCTCTATGAACAACACGGTCTCATTTGGTTCACCAGCTCAAAGGCGAACATTCACCATCCATCAGCCGTCTCACAAGTCTCACAACTGACAAAGCACTGCGGTAATCAAGGCAAGATATGGAAGGGTGGAAACAACGTAGTTAAGAGCAGAAGAGACGTCTTGAATTTCCACCCGCTGGCATGGCCGGTAGGCATGAACCGCCAACTATTTTACGTCCGAGGCGAGCCACCATCGTTCCAATGGCTTGACCCCACCGCTAGGTTCACCAGGCGCATGGCAGTTGGCTTTCCGGCCTTTTGCAGTGTGGGATCAACGGAGGGAAGCTTGGCAGTGAGTCCTGCGAGCCGATTGCGAGCCGAGGATAGCAGCAGAGGTCTGACTGATAGGTTCAACGCCAACTCCCAAGCATGCAATTGAGGTCTCCCACACAAGTATACTGACACTTCTTCAGCTGCCGTTGTTAATTGAAGGGAGACTGTAGTGCTGAAGCTCAATATGATCCCAACTCGAGGCTTGCGTGGGAGCCTGAAGTGCTCGTGACAAAAAGGTAGTACTTTGGAAGTACGGAGGTCTGCACCAAAAGTCCTGGACGCCAAGACTCCCGCGCCAAGATCTCGGAAAATGCCAAGCCTGAAGGGCTACCTGGACAATGCGCTTAGATCTGCTTCGGAGACACGCCTGGAGATGAGCCCAGCTTAGGACCCATAGATCCAACAGCAGTCTCTGAAGCTCAATTCATGCGCTCCCAGGAAATACTTCTAAGACCCCCCGCTACAGGGCCTACCGAGAGTAGGGTTAGGGCTTCACTATACTAGCGCGGTCCTGGACTTTCGGTGCAGACCTCCGTACTGGATATATTGAAAGATAATAAGCTACTTTAGTACCTTATATCCAAGGCTTTTAGAGAGAGGCGTTTTGGCAAATGCATTCCTCTAGGTAGCAAAAGATTTGCTGTCATGAGAAATTCATGCTCGCTTGGCTCATCTAGCCTTATGTAGCTAGCACAGATCGTGGCCAGCTAGGGCTGCTTTCAGGGCTTCAAAAATCTGCACACCATAAAAATACTAGACTCGACATCACACAACAGCCTGTTAGAGATAGAACCTGACTTGATACTGTATTTCCGTCTCACTTAGTCTCATAATTTTCTATATACGAGTCTATATCCTCATTTCCTTTTCTGAGACTTCCTATGACGGTGACGTTGGCAGGCAATCAATCCTGACCAGCCCCCACTCCATCAATGCCGCCCTTGTCCTCAGCTCTTCCTCCACCTCAGGAAACTCTACCTTTCCACCCACGATCCTCGGTACCCTGACATTGATGCGTCTTTGCGTCCCTGCTTGAAAGCGTCACGATCCTTCACGATCCTTCAGGCTCCGCTTCTGCTTCGGACCCCTCTTCAGCTTCAAGCCCATCTCTTCGAGGACCCTCTCCTCGATATCTTTGACATTCTCACGGACTACCTTGAGCTGACGCATTGACCTCCATTTGCTGTTTCTTCGAGCTTGCTCCCGTTGTCTTCGTTCTCAACAGGAATGGCGAGATCCTCCAGGGTCATCCCCTTGGCAGAGAGAGCGCCAGGTTCCTCGTAAAACGGGGATGACTCAGGCTCGGGTTTGGTTCTGGGTTCAGGCTTGGTGAACTTCTCTGACTCTGTGTCCAATCTGCCGTGGTATCCATCCTTTCTCCGGGAAAAACTTCGATGACATCAGGCACTGCCTCGTTATCCGAGGCATCATCAGTGCCGCCGCCGACGTCCACATCGAAGTCCGTCACGTTGTCTTCCTCTTTCTGTGCTTCATCGTCATCCTCCAGCTTGATATCTGGCTTTGGACTCGGTGACAGTGGTGGATTGCTTCTCCTATCAAGCTCAACCAGCGTTTGAACATCCTCGGCCCTGATTTTGGCACTCAAGGCCTTTTGCTCTGCCTCCATCGCTATGTTCTCCGTAGCCACCTCTCCACCTCTGCCGGCGGCACAATCCATCTGCGACGCCTGCCATTCCGGGTGGCCACAGTAGGATAAATTTTCAGCCCAAGCCTGAATCTGATTGTGGACAGGCTCAAATGCCGCTGCAGTGCAGACTGTATGTCCCACAATTCCGTGAAAGGTCCACTCGATCTTATCTGGGAGACTAGTCTAGTAAGCGCTGCAGTCGAAGAACTTTCCGATAGCGCACACAAGGCCGGTCACCCAAATCTGGTACTTCACGAGAGCACCACCCTTTGCAGGCCACATGTTGACAGAACTCATGCCATCTCTTTCTGTACGCGCGATCTTGTCTTCTCCTCCATAAGCTCCGCCTGACTGATGCTATACTGCTTCATGATTTTGTGCGCCATTTTGAACGCCGCTCTTTGCTCGTTCTCGTTGTTGTTGACATGATGTGCACGGGCAAAGCATTTTCGGATGCGCTCAACCACGGCCCTATCCGCGTTTGAGAGCGTTTGAGTTGAGGTTTCATCGTTGGGCAACCAACCAATCGACGCCCTTTGGCATTTGAGTTTGTGTTTTGAGGGCGTTCGAAAGTGACGGGTCAGAGGTCGCGAAAGCAAGATGCGATGAGATAAGGTCAAAGCGAGGCGTTAGCCCTATGCAGGTACCCGCGATCTAGCCCAACTGATGTGTATGCACATGGAGTACAGGATCACGACAGGAGCGATGTATGCTTGTATTGCATCGACTTCAAAGTGACGGAGACCTCCTCGTCAGTTGCAAATGAGCAGGTCTGGAGCTAAGATAGCCAGATGTTGTGATTCATTAGCTATCACTGACGACTTAAGCCATATTGCAGCCAGTAGCCACTTCTCCTGCTACCATGATGAGCTTCGCTATTTACATCAATGCACTGCTGAAAGAAAGAAGCCCCGAACTGTGTCACTCCAGCATCTCTTCACGCAGAAAGCACCAGAAGGGTACCAAATGCTCATTGACACTATCCTCAGTAGCTGACAGCGAACCATCCTTGTCGCTAGCTATGACCGGAACTGGACCGATGCTGTGGTGCTGGATTACCTGTAGCGTCAAGTATCTAAGATTCTTGATCTTCACCAGATCTTTGACCCACTTGAGGTCTCTGAATCCCGCGTCGACTTTGACATTGACGGAGATGGACAATGTCTTGAGGTTCACGTTTTCCCCAATGTAGATGCAAGCTCTGCTCCAGTCTGCCTGGTTGTCTGGCCCCTTGTGCAGGCGAGGCTCCCATTTGTCGTGGAGATCCATGGTAATCCCACTCAAATTTTCCCGGGCGTGCTGTGAAAGACTCCGAAGGAATGGCACGACACCGTTGATGCTGAGTCCGAAGTCAAAGTTACGGAACTGGTACAGAACGGCAATAGCTTCATCGTGTGTCAGCCTGCTTGCGGCAAGAATGCCGAGATTGATCTCCCTCGATTCACCCTTGGGAGGATGCCCAAACCAGAACTGGAGACCCTTTTTCTTGGTACGAAACGGAATGACCATAATCGTGTCGTCAGGGTTGACTCGGCGACGTACAGCACTGCTGACAGTTTTTTGATAGAACTGGCCACATGCAGCACCGCCGACGGCTTCGCGGTACACCTGCAGACGAAGTTCGGGAGGTAGGCGCTCGAAAGGAAATGGAGTAGGATCGGCTTGGAAACGGAGCGTCGACTGCAGGAAAATCTCAGCCAAGCGTGCAATACACATTGGTGTTCCCTAAGTCAAGCATCAGGTTGCGTCTAGTCCAAGTATATTTGATGACTTACCACCCAGCCCCACTCCACCCCATCGACTTCCACAGAAGTCACCTTGGTCTCCTCTCCCTCCTGCTTGATAGCCTTGCCCAGTGACACTAGTGGTTTTGTGGCTCTCTTGAGGTAGGTATTAACATCTCGTGGCTTTCCATTCGCCGGCTCCGGTATTTTCAGCTCAGCCTCGTCCAATATTTGCTCTCTGAATTTCTTGATGGTTTTGAGGATCGCTCGATAGCCCTTGCGTTGCGTGTGTGGGTTAACACAAATCAGTAATTGATCTTTGAAGGCTTGGTCATGCACAGCTTTTTCTGCCATCCTCCGGCTGACCTCCTTGTCGTCTAGCACGTTCATCTGTGACTGAGACATGAAGACGGTGGCTGTGCTGCTTGACATTGGTGGGGTTTGACAGCTGAGGAAGTGAAAGAAATGAAAGAAATCATTGTGAGAGTTGGTGACCGCGTTTGTTATGGAAACGCCGCTAACCGTTTCTAAGACAGTGAATCCGGCAATTCACTCCGTATTTTTGTGTTCATGCAGTTCCGGGCACACAGTCACCTGCAATCGGTATCACAATGCTTGCTGGTTTGGTCTGAGTTGACTTCGATGGATCATATAGAGAGTCTATCCTTTACGTAATAATCAGTTTTGGAGAAGAATGACATTTGAATGTCTATAAGAGACACAAATTGAGCTCCCTTTCATCCTTATCTCTAGTTTGGCCCCGATCAACTACCTTGCCACTTCCACTACAGAATTGTAGAGTCTACATATACTTCTTATTTCTGCCCTTTCCCCTTTGTGTAAAGAACTATATATAAAAAGCGGCACAAATGAGTCGTCATCACATTAACTGTCTTTGATTTTTCAAGGAAGAGACTCTGGATATACAAGTTTTATGGCGTTGGCTCTACCCTTGGGCCAATAGCGCTGTATCAATTACCCTCTACTTATAGCCCTCCGGCTTTCGAGGCTCTCTTATCTCAGCAGATATAGTCATGAAGCAAAGGCTGTAGACCTAGAACGGAAGCTATGTTGTGCTCATGGTATGGGTCTACTTTGGAGCTCTCAGGCGCAGAAAAGTCGAATGGTTTGACTCCTAGTGTCAGTGTAAACACCGAGATTCGAAAGTCTCGTCTGTGTCGTACAACGATCGCGCGGCTTACGAGCGTCCTGATTGCTGTGTCAAGCTCATCGAAACCATCAACACTTCAATCCCGCAGGGTCTTTGTTGACGTTTTTGCTCAACTCCTTTCCTCGAGTCATCACCTCCGCGTTCCCTTCTGCACTAGCGTCTTCCAACCTCCGCTGACCATTTTTTCAAAGAGAACACAACCCTTTCTCACGCCTTCACCGTACCTCCCAATCTTCCCAACTGCAGAAGGAATCCTACCCAACATTTTGCTCGTTCCACTTGATCTGCATCGTACGTGTGTACCTCGCCTAGTACACTCAACTCTCTTAGTGTCTAACAGATTTTTAGCCGTATCATACACCACCTACCCTGCCACCGAAGCTTCCCGTGTGCCTTGTCAGTCTCTATGATGTCGTCTTCTACTTCCGACCAAATCTTGCACCCCACGAATCCAGTCCTGTTGAGGGATGTGAACATACCGAAGGAAAAAGGGCAGACACGCGTTCTTCCAGACGGAAGCCTCCTATATCACGAGCCTTTAACCAACAAAGAAGGTGAGAAATGAACTCATCGCCCTTGAAGCAGGGAACACTTTGCTGACAAGTCTGCAGTGCCGGCTGTTCGTCTTGAAGATATCAGGCTCAAAGTTGTTCAACAAGCATCTAAAAAGCTTTCATATAGTCAGTCTCCCCCTCAAAACTTAAAGCTGAAAGGGGTGTCATTGACATGCACAGGGTTTCCCAAGAAGCGCGGATACGAGGACACAAACTTGACAGCCTTCGTAAAGAAGGATTACAATTATGGACCTGAGCGGGAGAACCGACCGGACCGTCTGTTTCAGATCAGAAATGACGATGCAAAGGGCGAAAAGCCTAATGGCTATGTCATTGATGAAGGTCGGATCGTCCTCGACGCATTTGATCATGGCCTCCGAGACTTCGGAAGTCAGCTCCCCATGTACGTGTCCTCTGAACTTGAAGGACACGACATCGAGGACTATCTTCGTCGGAATCGGGAGGTATCTGTTTACGATCTTGTTGGTATGTGATCTTGCAATCCTAGTTTCTTTCCAAATTAACGAATGCAACAGCCCGGGCTCCCAACGGCTACTACAAAGGAAACCCTCAAACGAAGAACAAAAAGACTGAAAAGGAGGAGAAATCGAGGGAATGGCATCAGGGCCCTCCCAGAGTCGGAACATTCAGTATGCGGGCAACACGGTTCCGACTGCGCGCTGGATGTTTGTCCTGGGAGAAGAAGGACGGCACGGTCGCCAAGAACCAGAGGATCCTTGACGTTATACCTGCCCGGTACAAGGATCCAACAGTCAACTCGACCAAAGGCTGGCGCGACCTCAATACAGCTGAAATCAAGAAAATCAAAGATGGCGCCATGAAAAAGCCCCAGCAAGGGCCCAAAAAAAAGCGAGCTACTGAGGCGAAAAAGGAAGCCGAAGATCTTCAAAAGAACGAGGAGTACGAAGAGGAAGGAGGCAGCCAAGACGGGTGCTTCGAGTATACGCCTGGTGGTGTAGAGGAGGAGGAGAACTACGTCTCCCCGGCCCTTAACCACGGAAGCGCTGCCGGCTTTAGCACACGACGTCCATGGACAAACATCAAGCCTGACAATGAACTTGACTATCATGGAGGTTTGAGTCTTCCGAAACCCCCCAAGCGATCGAGGGAGCAGAAGTCGACAAAAATGGGGAATCTGGAAGAGGACTTCGAGGCTCGACCATTTAAGAAAGGAAGAACGCCAATGCATGCTCACAACTCGCAAGGTGTAAGGGATGGCACCAACCTCCTTCCGCATACACGTTCAAAAAGCCAAAAGCCAAGGCATAGAAGAACCGGTGGGCCGAAGCCCGAGGATGCAGTAGAAGAATCCATGAGATTTTCATCTGCCACGAATCCATATGACCTACAAGACCAAGGTATACACACGTGGCCCTCGAGTGCTGGGTTTAATCATACACTGGCCCCCTTACCTGAGAGCCTTGGTCAACCTTGGGACACCCTTGGAAGAAATGCGGAGGCTCGTCGGTCCCCCAAGGAGCTGAGAAGCGATGAGTGGCGTCAGTCGGACACGAGGAATCCGCAAACGTACTTCCACCAAGACAATCTCGGCAGTGACTACTTCCATGAGCCACCTCCGGGCCCACATGAGGGCTTTACCCTAGGCTCACAATTGATTGGCTTTCATGCGGGCTTTGCGAACGTGAGTTCGCAGGTGCGAGGGTTCGACATGAACGATAGTACCAATTTCCCAGCAGGCACACAGTATGCGAGCTCCCAGTACGACCTTCCACAGGGCGGCTTTCCACAGGACGGCTTCTCACAGGACAGATTTCCGCAGAGCGGCCTTCCACAGGACGACTATTCACAGTACGACCTTCCTCATGAAGGCTTTCCTCGGAACAGTATTTCACGCGACAGCCTTCCACAGACTATTCTCCCACAGGACAGCGGTCCATCTGAGGGTCTGACTCGAAACAGCCTTCGACAAGAACATCCATGGAATGGCTCTCTCTATGTTAATCCTTCTTGCAAGGACGCTTTACCACCGATGCCGCCACAAGCAATTGTTACCGGCAAGCGCAAAAGAACAGACGATCCTTCTCACGGACAACCGAAGCAGGAGCGGACGATAAAGCGCGCTAGAAGCAGCAAGACAGCGTTATTACCTTCGCCAGAGGTTTCACTTGCCGCATGTGGAGACCCTGGATATGGACACTCTCAGAGAGAATTGGTGGAATCACAGGATGCCCGCTTGCCTCAGACAGAGGGTGAATTTCCGAAATCCTTCCCGAGCCCCCTCCCATCCAGCTTTGGATATCGTCGAAATGGAGGGCGTCCCCCAATTGAGATGCACGGAAGTCCGTCAGAGACCAACAGTGACTATGGGATTTCTGATGGTCCAGCAATAGGCCCACTCCACGGCGAGCCTTATCCTCAAGCTCACGACCCCATCCACAACGGCACAGAGTTGCAATCCGGTTTTGATCACTATGCTTACCTGCCTGCGGACTTCCATCGCAGTCAATGGGAGGCGATCCAAGCCTCACTCTCGACGGATTGGCATCGGGACTGGAGAGCCCAGAAATCGCGATACAATGCCTAGCATCTCGCGCGAGGCAGAGAGGACTTGCGCAGAGATGAGCGACTGTGGGATTCTATCCGATCTTTGAAGGCAGGGTGATGCTATGGTGGCGGAAAATTGCTCGTTTTCCTAGTCTCGGAAACTCCACGTCGTTGAAAGGAATCTTTATTATTGGTTTTCGCAGATCCTCAGCGCTTCTTTTCTTCATGGGCTCTAGGGTGCTGCAAGGGTTTTCAACTGGGTATAAGGCATTTTCAGTAAGGTTGGTGCGATAGTTTTTTAAATATTCGAGGTCGCGAACTGCAAAGCCGCGGGTTCATAGGGCAAGGATTTCCTATTTAGCAGGTCTATCGAGAATTGCAGAGGCCATCCTTAGCCACGGATATTCTTCGATTGACACTTACGCACAAAATAAACCCATAGAGAGCAAGAATACAAAAGAAACGGATGACCGAGGTTGTGGTTGAAACAAGTCCTTGGCCACGCATTCCGAGTCCCCCAATTCGGCCACGCCAGTAGCTTATAGTTATTTCTGCCATTGATAGTGCCGACCTATGGCAACTGAGACATTAACCACCTTCACTTTGCAACGTGAATGTAATGCCCGAGTGCAGAAACCCGAATGCAGAGGAAGAATTCACTGCTTCAGCTTTAAAGAGCAAGATCCAGAGCACGGAAACGAAAGCAAAGCGGCCTGAACCACAACATCACATCTAAGTCTTAGCGTGTTGAGCCGCTCAAGGAGCCGACGGACGGTCGCCTGCCGGAAATCCAGGGCTCAAGCAGGCGAAATATTTTCGTCCTCATCTCTAGGCGGTTTGTGTCACATCACTCCCATTGGAACAATCAACACCCGGTCGCCACGCATGTCACATGCGGACAGACGTGGCAACACCTGAATCTGCTAACACACACAGGCGTAGATCTGCCGCGAAAAGAATCCAATGATATAAATATGGGCAGGACGCGTGCACGGCTCGAAAGTAAAGGGCGAATCGAAAACTGCTACGAGGCTCAGAAACCCCGAGCAAGGACAAGATGTCATCATCATCTAGATCGAGAAAGATATTTGATGAAATCCTTCGGGGTGACTCGTCGCTTCCCTCCTACGCAGACTCTTCAAGAGATGCTAGCAGACCGACTGCTCCCACGCCCAGATCCATACAGGATGATCATAGAGCTCCGACATTTCCTCAAAATCCCGCACCTCCACCTCCACTCGCGCCGCCACCAGCAAACACGAGGCCCCGGAGAACACCAGCGGTAGGGTTTTCAGCGTTTCCACGACACCCTGTGATGGCTAAACACTTCGCCAGCGTATCAAACACCAATACAGGCGGAACGTTTTCGGAAGAGAGAAAATCTTCACCGATGCCTTACAAAAAGACTGCCATACCCCCGGAGACCCTGGAGGAGCACTCTATTTACCCAGTGGGTGATAGAATACGGAAGGTTCCGCAATCTGAAGAGTCGCTAGATTCTCAGATGGGTCCGGAACGGGGGTACAGTCGGAATCCTGAGCTCAACCTTCAATACCAGGTTAGAAACGAGATCAGACGCTTGTGGGAGGAAAAGCATAGCAAGACGGCAGAAGACACAGATCGACTAGATCGAGACACCGGACATCAAAGCGGTGTAGTAAAATCCGACGGAGATCCAACAATCCGCGAGGAGATCCCGAACCCCCGGAGGGTCCTCCACGAGTCGCTGGAGTGGCACGATGACTCGGATGCGGAAGACTTGGACAAGGATCTTACAGTGTTTGCGGACACGCCTAGAGATGAAGGCATTGTAGAAGAAAGAGGAGAATGGCTATTGCCTCCTTGGGATGTACCAGACCCAATCCATGCCCCCTCTCTGACAGCCCTGTCATCAATGACGGAATGGGACCCGGAGGCCGACATAGATTTCCAGACGGAAGCTCGGGCAGGATGGAGCGACTGCCGTTTCAAGGTCCCGCAAACGCCTGCTGATATAGAATCTTTGCAGCAAGCTCTTGAGATAACTCGGATGGACTTCTGGATCAGGAATCCGAACGAGAGATATCCGGAAGATCTCTCCCAATACAAGGGGGAATCTTACGGATCTCAACATCGGCGACTCCAGCACGCATTCTGCACAATTTGGCAGGGTTTGGAGACGGAAGCTCCCCCTGCACTTTATCGCTTGCCGGAATGGATGTTTGGATTCGAATACTGCTATTGGAAGCCCTCCAGTTGGGGTTATAATAAGCGATCAAACGCGTATAACGAGGGTCTTGCGGCAATGGCTGCCGAGAAGAACGAGAAAAGCTTGGAGAACTTGCGCTATCAGGACTGGAAGGCTAAGCTGAAGGAGGTGAGCGGCGCTCCGACGCTTGCAGATTTTGCGCCTTCAAGGCGATCGGTTGCCCCCGAGGAAATAGAAAGAGGGGGGAACGAAGGTCTCTACTCCGTTAGTCCGACACCAGATTTCATCATTTAAAGACTTCCTTTCTTGTCAATCCTAACATTGCACTCCATAGATTGTGTTGTATAATTCTTAGCATAGATAGATTAGGACTTTGAATGAAGAAGAGTAACTCCAAACGGGACAGAATCTTGAAAGGCGACTTGGTCTTGGGAATCAAGGCCATCAGATGTCACGGTATTAAGAATCCCGTTCATATCGTAGCTCCAGTCACTGGAATAAGCCCAGTCGGACCAAGATTTGGTTTCGCAACCTTCAAAGCCTGTAGGGTCTCAAGACCTTCTGAATTGAAATAGGAACTCTTAACAGAAGCAGTCCCTGCGCAGTGCGGTCAAAGAGAGAACAAGACAGGGTGTCAGTTGTGAATTTGCCAAGACTTGCACCTTGCCGTCTTTGGACATGCTCGCAACCGATCAATTTCTGACACCGGCTGAAGAAACGTTGTGTGAGCTGCCGATGTCTCTGCCGTTTGGAGGTACTGAGGGAACGATTTTGGCTGGAGCAGGGCGTAGTCATATGGCGTGAAGTCCTAGTCGAAAACAAAGCCTCGTTGTCACAAATCGCATGGCCTGACTCATAACACTAAATTTTGTCTGCTGTTCTTCAATTGTTCTCACCAACAACCGCATTGTTACTACCTTCCATTGTCATTGGCTTGACCAAGGATCTCTCAAGGGAAACTTTAGTTCCTTTGTGGCTTTCAAGGACATTCAAGGACAAAGATCTTGTCCATTATTTCTTATATTACCTCAACGTTTGCTCTTCTCTTCTGCTCGCAAAGCCCACTCATCTATCCCACGTCAGCCAGCCCAGCTCAACCAATAATCTACGACGTACCTACCTACGACGATTCCCAGATATCAATACTCAAGCTAGAGTAGGAATGACTTCTTTCTCTGGGCTCCCAAACGTCGGGTTACTCATTCCCAGTATCGACAACGCGTTCATCATCTTCGAGGAGATCCCCGTGGGGCGGAAAACCTGTGACGTCTGTGGGGACCTCTTTTCCATCACAGGGGATCTGAATGACTGTCCCGTCGGACTCCCATGTCGCCATGTGCATTGCTTTAGATGTACCTGGACATGGCTTCATCGATACCATTCATGTCCGGAATGTAATTTCTCGTACACCGACATAAGACCTATCCGCGTTGTTCTCGAACGTGAAGCATACCTTTGTCGCCACCAGGGTTTCCCTCCGTCCAATCAATTTCAGGTAACGGTTTTGCCTTCCTCAAGTCACGCCGCTGGCTCTAAGGCTGAGGCCGTTGAGCCTAGGTGAGCCATTCAGAGCTTTCGACCACCAGTTTTCCAGTATCAATTTAGATATTTTCCTCCCGATTCTGAAAAGGCCACCCTTTCTCAACACACTCTCGATCCTCGTCATCTTCCCCCTCACTCAGCCATGTCTCTTTCAATTCTCGATTTTTTTCTACAGCATCCTGAAAGACTTCATTCCTGACCCATCCGTCTTGGCTCACATGGTACAAAACGCTGCGCCAGTGCTCTACCAGTATGTTCAAATTAATCCAGGCGTCTTCGATGCGGAAAAACTCTTCCTTTTCTGTGTCAATGAAATGGATCGGGCAGTCACCCGTATTCAGGGCGATCTGATCCCAGTGCTCGATAGCCCGGATAAGCAAGCCTTTGAGCGTTATGTAATTACCATTCCACGATCGTCCAGCTCGATCGACCAACTCTTGGCGAAGATAGAGCATAGGCACGCGAAGCACAGCTAGATGATCGCGATTACGGTTCCCAGTGAACACAATGTACAGCCAGAAGAGCATCCTTCTGCGATGGAGTTCATCGGCGACAGACTTCTCATTGGGGGAGAGAGACGAATAATCCGTGGGAAGGGTGGGTTGTCTGAGGTCTGTTGGAGGTTGCGGATCTGGGTTCTTGAACATTGGGGGTGCGCCGGCTGTTAGACAAAATGGTAGAACTGTAGTGTGCTGCCAGTCGATGAAACAGGAAATCTCGCAGGAGTCGGAGATTAATATGTTTGTGGGATTAAGATCTGCGTTGGTGTAAGTAAAGCGCGTCAAAAAGAACGGAGGCTCTGAGTGAAATACCTGGATGACGCAACGTAGGTCGATTAGAAATATTCTCATGGCCTGCCGGCAAAAGGTGCGGAGATACAGACATATACTTTTCCAACAGGTCTACGTAAATACTTGGCGATATTTGACCTTTCAGTAATGTGTTGTGGGGAAATTTAAGAGTCTGTGCTTGGCCAGAACTGCGAGTCCAAGTGAGCTCCCGTTCACCAATTGATCTTATATAGTCGCTTGACTTTGCCCCTAATAAGCCATGAGCGTTAGCGAGCTGAAACGCAGGGCGGTCGGAATTACTGACATGGTCCTCGATCAATAGCAAGCCGACTATACCGTCCAAGCCAAAACATATAGTCTGTTGTTGGCCCAATGCAAAATCGATCGGTATCATCTTTTCGCTCCGAGCTCACAGGAGGATGAAGGTCTAACTGGAGGTTTGATGGCAATGCGTCTTTGTAATAGATGCTGCCGTAAGCGTTTAGGCGAAGTTCAAAAAGCTTTCCTTCGAGCCTTATATAACTTTCCATGAAACAAACTCTTTCCTTCTGCGTAAGATGGAACCAACGATCTTCTAGCGGTTTCCCCGGCGCCTTCTGCATGATGATATACTCTACGCCGACAGGGTTGTTGCTGTCTGCAGACCAGGCATGAATTCGCGGAACTGGCAGTCCCTTGCTGCTCAAGAAGTCCATTGTTGCAACCTCACTCGCTGTTGCTAGGCGCTCTGGGACGGAGATGTTGTAAGGTATCTTAGCGATAACTTCAAAACCGTCTTCGAATGTCAAAAGGAACACTCTGTTGAAGCCTCCCTCGGCAAGCTTTCGAAGACTGGCGACTGCACCTCTTTTCAATGATCTTGAAGCGATATCTTTCAATGCCTGTACATTGAACTTGATAGACCGCTCCGATAGCCTGCGTGTCTCGTTGTAGAGGTAGCGCCCGGAAGTGTAGGTGAACAAGTCTGGATCATCATTCGGAAGCAGAGATAGTGACTGTTGTTTCGCCATCTGGCCGTGGCTTCTTATCAGAGAATAGGACGTGGGGATGCATGGTACTTTGGCGCGTACCAGCTTCAGAGACGGACTATCGATAACGCGGCAAGCACAAAAGAGACCGCGTTGGCGCGATGCACATGACGCTATGGAGTACAAAGCCCGAAACATTGAGGTTATTCATACCTAGAGGCTCTCAGACAGACAAGGGTTGGGAAGAAAACATGACGCCAAGAAATGCCTTGGACTTGCTAATTCCTAGCTCTAGTCCCTGCAAGGCTTTTAAAGTGCCGAGGCTCTAGGCTCGCTAGCAGTATTCTAGGGGCGGGCTGAGCAATTACTCTACCTAGGCAGACAACTACAACTGTACTGCCACAGCTGCATGCACGAAATGTACAGAAAATAAGTAACTTGCAACATAGATCAAGAATGGAGGAAACTACTCTTACACCTCTGCAAATTCCTGAAATCGCTCTCAGTATCATCAGCCATCTCGATCCACCTGCCATCCTTTCCATCCGCCTCGTCTCTTTCCCAATCAATACCCTTATCCTGGCCTACCAGAGATCTGTCGGCAGATCCATTGCTCAGCGACAGTTCTCCACTGACATTGATTGGCCCGCTCCCAACATAGACTGCCTACAACAGAACTTCCATCTCAAAACACTAACACGCCTCCCGAAGGCCTACAAGTTCGCTCGCAAGACCAATCTAAATTGGGAATGTTACGTGGAGGCAGGTGTCACCAAAATAAAAGGTAAAGTAAATGGAGTGGCAACGGTCCTCAAGCCTAATTCTTCATACCCTACCTTTCTTGGACGCTGTGCTCGCGCCATTCTGATAATCTGGACTCTGAACGACATCAGACGGCATATCGACCCACTTGAGCCTTTGCCTAGCTATGTCTGCCCACCTCCGCCACCTAGCCGCCGGCAAAGACTTGGCCGTCTCTTCTCACGCATGGCAAACGTCTCGTCCAAACCCAACTCTGCATCTCTATCTCCAACAGAGGCCAACTCTCAAAGCTTTCGGCTCCATATGAACTCTCTGGCACCTAGATCCGAATGCAAAGTCAAACGGTACCTCTCCACGTTCAATGCAGCACGGCAAACCTTTCTGAATTCCCTCCCCCGAAACCATCGCATTGACCTGATATGGGTTCAAGACTATCTCTTCATAGCACTGGCGAGGAACAGCCGCCGCCACGGTAGGAGCGATGTGATAGTCGCTTTCGTGCTGCAGCAGAGTCCTGCTTTTGAACTCTCCTTAAGTAGTGATGATCGGTGTGAGAGAGTTTGGGCGTGGAATTTGGCTTCCGGGATCGTCCACGCCAGACAAAGCGAGTTTTCATTTAATGAGTGGGCGAGGACGGTGCCTTTTCTTCCTGGTGAGGAGGAGGAATGGTGTGAAGAGGCGTACAGGGCGAAAGCTGAGCTGACCAGAGGGACTGGCGTGATAGAGGAGAAGCTGTCATAGGGACTTAATTCAGCAAAATTTATTACTACAGATACCATATATACTTTGAAGACCTATGAATTCCTAATAAGAGTACAATGAAGGCTAAAAATGCAACGACCTTGTGATATCATAGCTGCTTGATAAGTTTGTAACATGTAACGGTCTATCAGAGTCCGCTGTTGCTTTGTGACAATTGAGAGGAAATATATTGACGGAGATGTAGAGCTGCTCGTTTTTGAATTGCATGATTTCTGCGAAGATGTCGTATCATCGAGACAGAACACTTCTAGATTTCTATGGCACTGCGGACGTTTCAGGATGAAGACATTTCCCTCATCTCTCGGTCGTGATACTTATACCCATGATCCCTGGGAGCTGGGCCTGGTAGCTTGAAATTTGGAGACTGACCCGTATTTGCTCTGAGGCTTGGCAGCAGGCTAGAGTTCCGAGTCTTGCCACATCAAGCCAAGCGTCGTGCAATTAGCCATTGACACTTCGTTCATCGCACATTCCCTTACTCATACGAGTAACAGCAGTAGCAACCTCACGACCCGAGCACACTGTGTACGACCCACCCTTGAATACTGTCCCGATTGAACTCTTAGAGCTCATCAGCTCGCCAGCATCGCCGCAGAATGAAGCTTTCAAACGGCGATGCCTGACGAGCTTGGGTCCTCGCATATCTAGAGAAACATGACCTCAAGATTGCCAGACTAGTGTGTAAGACAAGGTCCCACTACGCCTCAGAACCCTGTTCGACAAGCTCTACATAAACCCTCGAGGTCTGCGGACACCAGGATCTCCAGCACGTCTTGCGCGGTGGTCGGCATCCACGTCTGCTCCCAGACGAGCCAGACGAGCCAGACTCGGCCCGAGAAAGCTCTTTGTCAGCGCCTTGGCTTTGACGGAGTCTTCAATACTGCGCCATGTCTCACGATGACTCACTACAGATTGGGCAGTCCGAGATGGTCTTCGAACTTAGCTTTAATCTCATACGTACGTCGAGTTGATGTTGGAGGCGAATTGGTCATTCAACATATGTTGCAGGACCGACTATTGCATTCTAAGTGGTGATGGAGGTGCAGAACATGAGAGTGTATGTAAACAAGGAAAATTCGCGGACACATGCTAAGGCTTTGCTATGGAACGAAAAGAGAGCTTGTGAGAGGGTCACCCTTGAGGTTACATCTTAGAATAAGTGCAATAATCATGGACTATATGGCTAGCTTATAATATGCAGACGCAAACAATCAGCCTGCTTTCTACACGCTTGGCACGCCCTAAATAGATCTCGCTCTCCCAATGTCTGATTTTCCGAGTACTCGTAACGCCCATCGCAGCTGTCCCTCCGGCAATCCAAGCCCCAGTTTGAGGTGTTCTACCGCAAAATTACTGGAATTCGGCCTTCGAAGGACTCTTCAGGTGCTGCCGAGCTCACAGAAAATGCAGCATGCCACCTGTTTGTGCTCGCTATAGCGGGTTTTGAGTCTTCAAGAATTACCCAATCCCCCACTCCCTCCTCTAATGCGTTCTGACAGCTTTCCATACCTGCTGAGATTCTTCTTCAAACGCACTGCACACATCTCGTTTCCACTCTACGATGGTTTCCTTCGTCAGTGGTACTGCCGAATTTTTTTGATTACCATCGTACGGAACTTATTGTCTACTCAAGATTTGCCTACCGGAATAGCTGTCGCAATACAAAATGGCAGTCATGGATAGTGTCTTGTCTCACTTGCACACAGTCGTGGATACAGATCCAAAGAGGCTGGCAAAACATGGGATGCATCGATCCCAGCAGAGCGATTCCTGCATGCATAACCTTGACTGTCATGCTGATATTGTCAAGCCCCAAGAGATTCACAGCCATTCGGTTGCCATGCAGATTGTTCAGGCGGCGAGCCCTGCTGTAGGTGACCAAACCAGCTTCCATGGACGTGAACCGCTACAGCCGCCATATTTTCTAGCAGCGACCCTGCTGCCAGAGGGCATACCATCTTCGAAACATTCACTACTCTAGGCTGAGGCCCGAATGTTAGAGGAAATAGAAGAAACAGGTCATCGGACTGAGTTTGCCAGATGGTGATGTCACTTGACCCAGAAGCACTGGTTTTATTGATGAAGGTGCTGTTGGTGAATGACTAGTGCCCTAGATCAAGTGTCATCCCTAGGTATTTAGCCTAGGAGAAAAAACCTAACATAGCATGATCAAAGAGACACGACCTCTTTCTTTTACTGTTATTCTACACTATATAAAAAAATAAAGATATCTATATGTGCAAGGAAAGGCATGGGCCCACGGCATAGCAGGTATGTGATTTGGTCGTGCTCTCCTTCACGGCTGCGTTCGGCTTCATTTTGTGCTTTGCGTCACTGCCCATTTGACGTCATCTTAAGATGTGAGTCACTGCCCATTCGAGGTCACGGTAGTGCTTTACTTCACCGCACGTCTGAAGTTACTGCAGTGCATTACTTCACCCACGGCCTGAAGTCACCGCACTGCTTTCTTCATTCGCCATCTGACTTCATTGCAGTGTCCGGCTTCAATCCCATTTTGAAGTCGCTGCACCCCTTGGCTTCATTCTCCGACAGAATTCGTTGCAGCCTCTGGCTTCACTCACCAACTAACTTCGTTGCAGTATCCGGCATCACTACCCATCTGACGTCACCGCAAGGTCCGGCATCACTTCGGCGCTCAACTGCACTGCAGTTCCAATCAGTCCGGGGTGAAGCACGCCAATGCACCAGATTCATTTTCCCTCCTCCTTCACTCACCACCGGCGTCCTCTGCTATAAATTCCCTCTTCCTCCCAGTACCTCCTTCTTCTCTACATCTTCCCAAGTCGAGCTTCAATTCCGACCATCGACCATCGACTTGAAGAAGCACATCAACATTCGCTCTCCCTCCCGAGGTCTCCAGCTCCATTACATCTTCCCAAGTCAACCTTCGACCCGCCATCGACTTTGAGAAGCGCTTTTACCTCTGACAACTTTGTGCATCTGCATCATCTGTCACCAATTACACAGATCTGAAGATTTTTGAAGTCCAGTCATCAAAGCGTAAGTCTCCTTTGCCTCCATACTAGCACTGTCCTACTGGCTTGCCCATCTTCATCTTCTACTGTTGCTGCTGCTACTACTCACGGCTCCGATTCGATAGAACCTACAGGGTCAGGCATATCTTTTACAGATTGCAATTCCCGTGGTTGCCTAGACAAATCTTTCAGTGAAGAGTCGGTTTGAGCATTTTTCAGCGTTTACCCCGCATAATTATCACTACCCGTTCCTCACGTCGATCTCAACTCACTACATTTGACGTTCCACTTCCAATCTTACACTACCACGTGGCTTTACGCATGATCATCCATAAAAGCTATAGCTAACATTGTTCCTATTTAGAAGACAACATGTTGACAAATGCAGCCGAAGCAGCTGGAGCTCCGGCGGACTCAGCGATCGAGGCAATTGAGGACAGTCAGATTCTTCAAGTAGAATCCGCTTCAACACAACGACAAGGGACTCGCCTTCGAAAACAGACTGTGCGGTACGGACAAGAGACAAACGCCAGCAGCGAGGGTGATCAAGACCTTGGAGATGATCATAATGAGACCTCTATGAATGACAGGCCTGTGACTACTCAGCAGAAGCGTCGAACACTCATCTGCAACTTCGTTGACGGTTCAAACAAGGACAAGCTGCGCGCTCTCTTGACTCGACCCTCGAAGAAGCTTGACAGTCCTCCTGGATCAAGTAACGGCAACTCGAAGAAGCGGAGGTCTTCCTTGAGCAATGATTCAGACGTCGACGGATCTGAACCAGCCAGGCAAAGCGCCGACAACCTACCGAAGAGACAGCGGAGACAAACCGCCAAAGAGAGAGCTGAGTACAGAGCAGCAGCAGCGAACGTCCAAGAGTCGTTTCCTGAACCGCGGGGACAACCTGAGGTGTGGGCGGATGTAAGTCGTTCTCCTCGAAACGTCGTGAGTCTAGAGCTAACCTTGCTTCAAGGACCGCCAGAGCCTGTGTGAGTCGCTTTCTTACTTCCAGGCGTATAAGTCTGGTGCCTACCACTTCAATGGGTTTGGCTACGGCTACCTACTCGACAACGACAACGATGTGCGAGGGTACATGAGTGCCGAGGTTGTCATCTCCAGATTGTAAGAATAAAATTCCATCGCTGATGATCTCGATGCTGACTTCAACGGCAGTGGCGGTGGATACACACCCAATGAAAAAACAGGCAAGATGGAGCGAGAGAAGGATCAGACTCTGTCTGACCCAACGGTTGTGGCTTTCATGAACAACATGAGAGAACACGTGCCAGTCAATCTCGTCGTTGGTCAGTTCACCCCGGTGTAGGGCAAGCGGAAGAAAAGCTGACAACGATGCAGGTTCCAAAAATCCGCACTGCCCTTCCAAGATGCCACATCGCTACAACGTCAAAGGCTCTCACATGGTACACTACATTTGGTCTGAGAAGGTCGAAGGCATGAAAGTCAGCAGGATACGTTTCCAGGACATCAATCTGCAGAAGCCGAGCTGGTTGGCTGCGAAACACTCACCATTGCCCCCAGCAGACCGTGACTATACCACCAAAGCACCCTGCGAAACCTGCACCTCTTGCAACTGTACCTGGTCACACGTCTACGCTGCCGGATGGATGTGCTTGAACGAAGGCTGCAAGGAACACTTCCAACTCGACGGAGACACCTGCACCGACTTGACATGGAATCCGGTCTGGATGAACGAGCGCACCGAATGGCCCCAGCATATCATCCCGCCATTCCCTCTGAAGCCAACACCGCCCCTTACCGACTCCAACGTACCAAGCCTGGAGGAAGAAACATCCCTCTCGTGCTGGAAAGGCATGGTGTGTCCGAAGTGCGGGAGATGCAACTCACGCACAAAGTGGGACGAGTGGAAGTGTTTGAATGCAGCTTGCGACTTCGAGCTCCCAGTCACGCACACGGTCTTCCCTGCCAGAGCTTTGGTCGAAAAGCACGGGTTCGAATTTCAAGGCCAGGCCATATCCTTTGACAAATGTTATGCTCCCGTCACCAAGCGTGAGACGGAGTGGCCAGGCTTGTGGCGTCATTCAACCTACGACATCCCAGGCGGGAACGTTGTGTCTCATTTCCACGCAAATGCTGTCATCAATCAGCAGCCTGGGGGCGCGAATGAGATTCTTGAAGCACTGCAGGGGTCAAAGCTGGGCATGGAAAGATTTTCCATGGGGAATGCGTCCGGTATGCATGATAAATGTCTACGCCTATTGACGAACCACTGACATCAACGCAGCAGAAGGTCTTTCGCTCGTAAGACACTTCGCAATCAACTATGTAAGCACTATGCATAACTCAAGCCACGACTGCACTGACCAAACACAGGGTATGCCATACAAATACGTCGTATCCGTGGACTCCAAACCCTTCAGCGAAGCACCCCCAACGATCATGAACATCGTCAACCGCTTGACCTGGGCCGGAAAAAAGGTCGTGAACGACGGCACATACCAACAGTTCAACGAACTGCTCTGTCTCGGCTACTTTGAGAACCAGTCCATCGGCGTGAGTCCCATCACACTTACCCCCCTGTTCCACCTACTCATTCAGCCAACCATTACTAACAACAAACGCCACAACCAGTACCACGACGACGGCGAAAAAGATCTCGGACCAACCATCGCCTCCATCTCCATCGGCGGCGAAGCCATCATGACGATCCGCATGAAAGCCAAGTTCTATTTCTACCCAAAGGGACAAACGCCGGAAACATACGATCCCCTCGCAGACATCGAGCCCGGGACGCAGCTCTACAAGGAGCGTCTCGAGCTCGCGAGGCTGTACAAGGCAGTTCAGAAGCAGGACGAGGAAATGGATGAAGAGGAGGAGGAGGAGGACAACGATACCCAAGAGCGCACCTCACCCCGTCGAGCATACCTCCGCGCCAAAACCGCCCTCTTCGCCGCCCTCGCCAACGACAAGCGCAAAACCGCCCCCGTGATCCTATCCCTGGATCTGAAACACGGCGACATGGTCGTCATGCACGGACATCCCCTGCAGGCCAGATACGAGGTACGCTCCCCCCCCCTCTCTATCCACCCCCATCTAAAATCATCCCTCCCTCTATCAAGAAACAGAAACGAAGAGGAAACAAAAAAGCTAACCCCCCCTCCCTCCCCCAGCACGCCGTGACCCCCAAGGGCAAACTCCGCTACGGGCTCACGTGCCGGTACGTCAAGCCGGGCAACATACCCTTGGCGGAGCGCTGGAAGGGGGACTTTGGGATCCGGGCCGAGGACGCGTACGACGGCTAGCGAGGTGTGGCTTCTGTGGCGATGGGGTGAGGAAAGGAAGGACGGACGGCTGGATTGGTCTGGGTATGCTGGTTTAGCGGCAGAATTGTGTCGTACACGTGCGTGATCGATATTATCAATTTTGGCTGCCTGCGTCTGTGAAATGGAATGAAATGAAATGAACTAAAATGGAGATGGGTGAATGGGTGGGATGAAGCCGCCAGCAGCTGGTAAGAGCTGAGGATGATTGATTGATTGATTGCTGGGACACTTACTGCCGAATTGAAGAATCAAGGACGGTGAAATATCTTTTGCCTGCAAAAACGTGCAGGGTGATTATCTCACCACTGTACTGATGGATACAATACAATGCATATGGAGAAGGACTTATTGTACAGCTCTCATCTTCTCCACCGCCGGCTCCGTCATCTCCACTCCCTCCATCGCGTCCTCCCCACCCTTGCTCTTTTCTTCCTTCTCCCTCTTCTCCTTCTCCCATCTCGCCTTGTTTTCCTGCTTCTTCGTCGCAGCCTTAATCTGACCCTTTCTCGCCTTCTCCGCCTTCTCCTCCTTTGTCCTCTTCTCCGTGTTACCCCCTTTACCTGATTGCTCTTTCTTAAGCACATCATTCTCGTCGTCTGAAAAAGCTTCTTTCGCAGCTCTACTATCCTTCTCTTCCTCTACGATCCCTTTATACAGTTCCCGCAGTGCAGGTGTAAATTTTTCGAGATGTATTATATCCCCAACTTTGACACGCATGTAGTCGAATGCGACACAGGTTTTCATGTCGTTGAGTTGTTGGCGCGGAGTGGGATTGATGTTCGAGGCAGTTATTTGGGCCAGGGCGTTGGGGGCGGATGCTGACCGCAGACCTAGTGCACTGGGGTGTGGGGGTTCCTGTGTTTGCGGTTGAGGCTCGGTATGAGCTTGTGATGGTTTCTCATCTAAACTGTCTAAGATGTTGTCGATCGTAGCTTGGGGTCTGACTGGGTGGCTTGACTCCTCAACGGGCTGATCCATACCCGCCGACGGATCCTCGACATCTTCTGCATCTTCCAACTTGACAATACGAGTGTCCAGACTACTGATACTGGGAATATTCTGATACCGCTGACTGAAATGGGTCAAAATCACTCTCCGCGCTCCCATCGCAACGCCAACGCCGATGGCCTCGCTGGCGGTACTATGCTTCTTGGCTATCGCATCGCTTTTGAGCTCGTCATCGAAGGTTGCTTCGTGCAAAAGGACAGTAGAGTGCTTTCCAATCTCCGTAAAAGCTCTTGAGGGACGGCAATCGCCGCTGTAGGAGAACTTGAAGCCAGTTGGGAAGGTGAGGGAGACGGCCTGGGAGCCGTAACAGTGGGAGACGCCACAACTGACCAGATTGGAGAGGCCAGTAGCTCTGCGAATAGCGGATTTACTGTACATCACATGTCAACCAAATTTTCCTTGCAGGAGCGAGGAAGCCTGAAGAAGAACAGGTGGCAGGTTAGACATACACCTTGGGGTCTTTCGAGACCTGGAATCCAACATCGGTGCCATTCCACTCAAGGCTGCAAATATCGATAGCTCGGGTGTTGATGGGATACGAGACCAGCGGCACAAGTTGGTCATATCCAAAATCTTCGACAGACGAGTATTCTTCCAACCATCTCTTCATATTTTCGTGTCCAACAACAAAAAGCCGCTTGCCGTCCTCCAGAAGCTTGGCTGGATTTAGCATTTCCATTATCGTTGGCCTTCGGCGCTTCACCTCGTCCTTGCCATGGACTTCTTCGTACCAAGCCTTGATTACAGAAGTCAACCCAAGATGATGGTCAGCATGTAGATGGCTGATCCATATAAGCTTAAGATCCCGTAAGAGCTCCGCGAGTTGAGGCGCTGTGTACATCCGTTTCAGCTGTCCAAGCGTGTTCTCGCCACAATCCATCAAATACGATCCGCAGCCAGGCACTCGTAAGAGAGTGGCAGAGACATTGCGATGCTGAGACGGCAATGCTGAGCCAGTACCCAAGCATGTGATCTCAGCATCGGGGCTAGGGAGGTTCTGACTGAGTGTTTCCGCCTGAACCGCAGGCGAACTGATCTCTTGCCTGGCAACCTTTGATAGCTTAAGGGCATAATGAGAGGTCTCCCGCACAACAAGTGCTGTGTTGAGGACAGGCACCACTGCTTCCTTTGAGATACTAAATTTGGGTTCAAGCTGTAATTTAAGACCCCTCCTAGCGGGTCGACAAAACTTGGATAACGCTTGGACCGACGTCCCTTTAGCATCGGACGGTTTGCTCGACGTTGGTGGGACAGCATTGCTATGCACTGGTATGGCATATCGTGCAGGGTCGATTTGGTTGTGCCGGATGGCCATGGACGCTGCTGAAGTCATGGAAAGGTAGTCTGGGCATTGTTCAGGAGATGAGATAATATGCTGGATTCCTGAATGCCCCTCGATGAATTTGAGCAGTGTCTGGTCTTCTACGACACCTGGGCCGAGAATCCAGATCACTGCCACAACACCGCGCATAACCTTCTCAGCCCTCCACTCTGCTCTGTGGACAAGATCATGGACGTATTCTCTGGATGGCAGGTCGACCACCGCAATGCCAGATCCCTCTTTGCTGGGTTCTAAGACCATGTCGGGTGTGACGGTGACACCATCGCTTGACTGCACCGAAGAGCCTGACGTGAGGGCTGCCCATAAAGGTCCTGGCGGTACATTCCTTTCTTCAGCAGCAGCAGGCCTGAATCTCCCCCTCATTTTATGGTTTCGAATAATGTATGACATTGCGGTCGAAGACCGTTTTGTGGGAGGGAGTTGATCAATCAGAGCCCCAGGCCAGGCTTGGCGGACCAACACGTTGATGTCTGGCACAGGGGCGGTACCATCAGGCTTTGGACCTTCATACCTCGTCAACTCTTTCGTCACTCGGTCTCGAACGAGCAGCGCTGCCGGCATCTTAATTTCTCGTAGTGGCATCTCAATCAGGTTGTCATTACTCCATGCCGAGGAGAACATCTGTGAGACAGCAAATTCCCGAGTCCGTTGATTCTGTTCTTCCTGGCCCTCTGGCGGTATTGGGTGGACAGACCACTGGTCCAAGGCCTCTTTTTCCCTAGGACGTTCCCCTGTCATGAATTCACCCAGGCTCCGTTTCCGAGGCGAATCTGGCTTTGGGCCCTCATTGATCTCGGAGACACTTGACGGGATAATTGGCATGGCCCATACTTGGATTCTGCGGTCGGACCAGGTGGGTTTCCAATCTCGCTCCGCAGCGTTCACTACGTCTTGCTCTCCAATGTGTTCAAAAACTTTGATCGGCGTGCCCTTTCTGAAGATGAATGATCTGGCGGTAGCGAGCGTGTGAGTAAGATTGGGTCCGCCGTGAAGTCTCAATGTTGGGTCTTCCTCCACCAGTTGAGTGCTTGGCGGCGTAGGGGTCGCCCAAGTTGGACTGGTATCTGGCTTCGGATCAAGTTTCTTCTTCCTTCTTCGACGTTCTTCCTCCTCTTCTGTCTTTCTCTTATAAATCTCGAGCTTCAACCTGGCCGATTCCGCCTTCGATAGAGCGCTTGCCTTTGCGGCATCCGCAAGGGTCAAAATCATTCCCAGCAAACCTCCGTTCGACTGCCATTCCGTCCTCCCAGTGAGGATTATGTCTTTAGTACTAGACACCCGCGTTCCCATCTGCAGACTGGCTCGTTGTAGACCTTCATGCACATTTCCGATGATGTATCGTTTATCGTCGAAGTGTAGGAACAGAGCCGTGCCAGGGGTGTCGGACGTAGGCGTTGTGATGAATTGGATGTAGGAGTGCATTTTGTTATCAGAAACAAGATTTCTTCTTCGATAATGTTCAGGGCTGAAAGCCGGGTTTAGGATTGTCCAACCTCTTTCCAGAACCTTTGATGCCTTCCGCTTTTCCTCCTTTTCCTCTTTCTTGACTTTAAAGGATGCGGAGCTCTTGGCAACTGATTTGACGGTAATAGCAGGGTGCTTGTCGGTATGATGGTGTTCAGCGTCGAGGTTTGGCGCTAATTTGGATGGAGCTAGTGGTTCAGAGGACTCTTCAACGGAACCTGGAGCTTCTTGGGGCAAAGCAGGTAAGAGCTCGTGTGTCTCCTGGCCAAGAGCAGCTCTGTCCATGAGTTTGGTCGAGGGCAGCGGCTCGCATTGGTTGCTCTTACTGATGTCAACAGTGCTTGGTTTTGGCAAGACTTGGTGGTAGAGTAGGAGCGTTTTCTTCTTCCTCCTGACGGACAGGCTCGGCGATGTGGACCGACTTCTTGATAGGAAGAGCAGAGGTTGGTAGAGAGAGAAGATGGGCTTAAGTGGAAGGATAGCACTCGTGGAAACGGCGCGTCCAGGGACATGTCGCATCAGGTGGGGACGGAGATGGCTTTATATCCTCCTTCCGTCTTGGATGGTATCGTTATGAGTCATTGATGTAAGACTTCCGCTCTCGATGTTGCTGTTTTAGAGAATTAGCTAGACTTGACCAGGCAGTGGGTAGACAGCAAGCAACAGCGATGCAAGCAAGCAAAAATCATACCATGAGAGGCTCCTCTATTGACGCGAGATGGATACCTACTTTTAGTGGAACTTCTTTATTTTGCCTGACGGGAGATGGAGAAGATCGACTTAGTCATCCGGGCCGAAGCCGAAGGGTCTCAATACGGCGGACGACGGCTGACACTACGACAAAACCAAACCCAATTTTTTTCTTTAAGTTTTTTTACTTCCCGCGATTTTAAAGAGATACTTAAAGAGATTTCTCTAAGAAATATCTTAGAGAGATACTTTAGAGGATTTTTAGGGGTTACTTGAGGGGGATTTAGAAGAGTATTCGAGGGTATACTTTTGGAGGTACTCGAGGAGGGTATTTTAGAGAGTACTTAGAGGGTTACTCGAGGGGTTTCTTAAAGATTTACTCGAGAAATCACTCGAAAAAAAAAAAAAAAAAAAATTCGCGGGAAGTTCCGCGGAAAGTCCCGTAATTTTTTTTTTTTTTTTTTTTTGCGAAGAACTTCATTTATTATCCGTCGTAAGTACCCGGAAGAGTACCCGGAAGAGTACCCGGGAGAGTACCCCAGAAAGTACCTCGAAGAGTACCCGGAAGAATACCCCGGAGAGTACCCGGGAGAGTACCCCGGAGAGTAGCCCCTAAAGAGTGCCTCAAAAAGTACCTCTCGAAGAGTTGAGAATATTCTAAAAAGAATATTTTGAAGAGAGTTACTAGAAATTGCGAAGAGGAAAAATGAAAACAGAATTTTTTTTTTTTTTTTTTTTTTTTTTTTTTGGTTTTGTCGTAGTGTCAGCCGTCGTCCGCCGTACTCAAACCCTTTTGAGTTAGCAGAACTTCTCGTAATTTGTTTCCTTGTCGACGCTTCCTACTTTATTTTCGAGCTGCTTTCTCTTCTTTCTTTTGAGAGCAGGGTTTCTTTTTCGGAAGGGCGCATATGAATAACACAACACCCATGTTCAAATTCGAAATTAGCTAAGAATTGAAAATTGAAAGGGAAAGGGAAAAGGGAAAAGGCCCTGTGCTCAAGCATTCTAAGATTAGTCTTCCTGTCTCTGAGCCAGAAATGTAGTCTAGCAGGCACGCCATGGGCGCAATAACATCACACTCGTGCTCTTACGCATCTTCTCCTAAGCCAATTGGCTTCTTCTTCAATCCTCCCCCTGTTACCCTGAGGGTGAGTACTTCCTGTATCTCGTTGCTTCCCCGCTTTCAGACCTTCCTGTACTCTACCCTCTTTGCTCTTGCCGCATCACATACAAAACACCTTCGAAGATTGGTACTCTACCCTCTTTGCACTTGCCTCATCACATACAAAACACCTACGACGATTGCTGTGCAAGATGCGTTCCATAATCTTGATAACCCTCTGCCTTCTATCCCTGTCATTCGGTCAGAATTGTGGTCCTCAGTATGGAAATCAAACGTGTGCACCAGGAGATTGCTGTATGCTGACAACGCTCTTCCCTCGAGTGCCAACATCTTCGGGAAATTGCTGACGAATATCTGTGCACAGGTAGCGGTCATGGCTGGGTAAGCAATCTAATGCCTTCCAAACCGTCCATAGACAGCCACGGCAGTGCCTAACTTCTCCTCTGCTGTAGTGTGACACCGGTCCTGCCTGGTGCGATCCGACAACCTGTCAAAAGCAGTTCTCCGGCCCTGGATCTAGCTGTGCATCCCTAGCCACTCCAGCATACTTCGCTTCCTCGACATCATCCTCTCTCCCCTCAGCATTGGTGGCTCCTCCCTCCTACGTCTCGACAGTCCCAAACATCGACGTCTGCGGTCACGCCGTAGGCGGCGTCTCTTGTCCGGGCGCTGGCGTGCCTCCTGATCCCAACGAGCCTGGATACTACTACCGCTGCTGCAGTTCCGGTGGTCATTGCGGCCCAAAGAACAACATCGAGAGCCAAGATCTCTACTGCGGCGCCGACACCTGCCAGGTTGGATTCGGCGACTGCGCGACCAACCGTACGGCACCGCCTCTGCCTTCCGGTCCTCCAACAACGGCGGCAATGGGCCAGACGTGCGGACCGATTGTGAATGCTAAGTGCGGGGACGGGCTGTGTTGCAGCGGGAGCAACTACTGTGGTAAGTCAATCATTCTGTCGCTGCGTGACGGGCCACGAGCGCGCCCGCATGCACCCAAGACACATGAGGTTAATCATGGGTTGTCGAACTAGGTAGCACGGTGGATTTCTGTGGAGCGGCGAATTGGTGCCAGCCGCTCTGGGGCAATTGCAGTGACTGACAATGGCCCACGTAAGGTCAGCGGACGGTCTAGTCTCGAACTTGATGCGACAAAAAAAATCATGGTGCTAAAAGTGTTTCTTCCCTCACATACGCTTTATGTACAGAACTTTTGTATCTAACACGTACACTATTCTAATACGGCCAAACAACTCCCATCTGCTCCTTTGATTCTGCGCCAACCTTGACGCATTGCTATGTGATATCGCGAACACGCTTGGTAGGTCACGAGGCTCGAGGGAAGGTTGGGAGGAAGGGAGTTGGGAAGACTTTTTAGCGACGAACTAGCTCAAGTGATGGATACGCAAAAAACCCTCCCCCAGTGGGAGTAAAGAAGAGAAACAAGCCAATGATTCAGCGTCGTAGAGAGCGCTCAAATGACAAAGCAGACAAAGAAGAATCTACATCATAAGAACGACAAACCAAACCAAAAACCCCCAACGAGGCCCATTCACACAAACTACCTCCAACAAGCCTCGCCACCCCATCGCGTCACCGAAAGTCGACGAAAAAGAGCCCGGTGGCTAGCAAAATACAATAAATCACACACCCATCCGACAACCATCCCCTTCCCACCTGCCCATCCTGCCAACAAACCGCACGCGGAAACCCTCGCCGCTGCGAATACTCACACGGGCGCCCTTCCCACTCCCGCTCCACACACCCTCCTCCTCCCGCCCCCTCTCCGTGCACGCCCTCGCACCAACCCACCAATACCGCCTTCACCGCCGCGCCGGTGAAACGAGCGAGCCCCTTGACGGCAGGCATCGCGCAAGAGCTCGACGGAGCGTGGAGGATGCGAGGGCGTAGGGATAGCGTTGGCGTGAGCGAGGTGTGGGTTGTGAAGGCGTATTTGGGGGAAGCGGGCGAGGGATTGATCAGTCCGCTCCCTCATTAGAATCAGCCCAGGTACGTCATCGAACAGACAACCGTTTGCAGTCGCGGAGGCGCTGTGGACTTTGCTTCCCCGTAGTGATATCGTTTACAACGGACACGTTTCCATCACACCCGTCCCGTCATGCTGGACAATTCGAGCCGGGACCGGGGAGCTCGGGTTGAGAGAGAGAGAGAGAGAGAGCGCCTCCATCCCGAGAACTTCCATCCGGGGCCAGACGAGGCGCTTGCCTCACTCTTGCTCTCTTAGTCTGGCGACTCTAGACTCGGATAAGGTAAACTAATCGACCAGTCGCTCACGTACAGCCATCCATCCATCCATCCATCCATCCATCCATTCATTCCAACTGGAGCCTCCTCTCCAACCAATCACCCCGCCCCGTCCCATTCTCCACGGCCGACCTTTTCCACAAACCGTTAAACCTATTCAAACGTTGGCGGCGAAGCTGGTCTCCTGTTCGGAAGTCGAAGGATTGGGGCTGTGAAGAGAGCGGTTGGGATGAGAGGGTGTGGGATTCGATGCCTTGTTGAAAGTCTTGATGGATGGATGGATGGATGGATGGATAGATAGGGGCAGAAAAGACGTTACGGGCTCCGAGTCGCGGTGTGGAGTGGATAGTTCAGACGTTGCGTGCAGGGTTTGGATTCGGTGGGATGAGGACATAGGTTAGGTATTCGATCGTGAGCTGATTGATTGATTGATGGAAGATTCAATGGCGGATGTGGTCACGCGGGAGGTGAGTGATTACTTCGAACAGAGTGCTCAGGGTATGTATGGCAGGCATTTGGTGAGAGGGTTGGTCGGGTATACATGTGGGATGATAGTTTGTCGAGGTGGTAGGAACAATCTGGGGATGGACATCCGTGACGGAGTGGTGAGTTTTGCAATTGTAACGTTGTGCATCCACCTGCAGGCTTCCAGATTTCGCAGCGACCGCATGGATCATCTTCTCATACTCACGACTTTTGAGAGCTTGACAGGAATGGTTTCGGCTATTGTGCTCTACTTTGCTGTGCCATGCTATGAAATGAATCTGACGAGGGGAAGGGTGTCCCAGAACATGACCATCAATCGTGCTTTCCACATCGTACGTGGGTCAGCTCGTAGAGATCATGCCATGAGGCCGCGCTATATGAGCTTAGACCACGCTACGCCAACCGCCAGATGTGCTAATCGTATATGCACCGTTCATACCCAAGCCAATGTTGACATTCCACGAGTCTGGTATACTATCAGAATCGTCAAGCTCACAACGAGATATGCTGCTCATCGGCCGCCACTGTAATCAGCTTTATAAGTCTTGACACCACCCGCTTTCATCAGCTCCCTCAGGGCCATGGTAGCGTACTGGCTGGAGCCAAGTTGCAGCTTCAGAATGACAGCGATCTTGTAGTCGCGGTAAGCACCGCCGAGGAGACTAACGCCGCCCTGCTCCATGTCCTCGCTTTCTTGAGATGCGGTCTTGATCCTGGTCAGGTTTCTGGTGTCATTGCTGTTGGGAGCGTCACTGTTGCCCTGCTTCATCTTGGAGACGTCGTCCTCCTGCGCGGGTCCGCTCTTTTGCTTAGTATCAGTCAAAGATCCAGCAGCGGTGTCCTGATGTGCGTGATTGTCTTGTTCACGTCTGGGAACTCCATTCCTCTGCGGTCTTGGTCCCAGCCCTAGGCGATCTAAATCTGTCAAGACAAACTGCTCGTCCTCGTTCTTGTAGGTCTTGATCTCAAACGAGAAGTCCTTGCCCGGGCGAGCGAGGAGTTTGCGATAGCTCCCGCTCAGGCTGATGTCCTTCCACTGTCTTCGCATGTCATACGGATCCAAGCCACCGCCTCTCTCGCTGGCCATGAATTCCTCGTAGAACTTCCCGATCCCGTTTGAAGGGTAGATTATGTCGAAGCCCGGAGTTGGTAAGACGATATCGAAGATGTTATACTTCCCACTTTCGGCTTCCTCCTGAGTCAAGGCTCGAGCGCGCTCAAAGACGTCGTCCGGGTTAGTTGCACGATCGTCAGTAGCAGGAAGCACGATGGCTTCCCCATCAACGTCAACATCTTCGCCTTTGGTGACACCTTCACTTTTGTCGGCATGGTCGTCGACGAGCACGAGATCGCCCTCGACTACAGACGAGCCGAAACGCTTCCAGCGTTCCGAGGCGACTGTATTCCAGACCAGAGACTGATAAGCGTGGACGTACATGAGGCGCAGATTGCGCGATATTGTCTGGAGAGCTCCTAGGTAGTCTTCGCGATGGTCCGACTTGCCTGTAAGGTGACGAATGATACTTGATTCGGCTGAATACCTGCGTGGCAGTTCGAGAAGGGCTTGACCGTTTCTGTTCGTGGTCCTGTAAGAATGCAGTGCATGCGCACGAGCTCTATCGTCCATTGAGACCTTGTCCGTGTTCCCGGATACGGGGTTTTGGGCGGCGGCCAGGGAAGCTGGACTGTAGTCGAGAATGGCGTCGACGGCACCTTTGAAATCACCTTGGAGCATCTTGAGGCCCACGATTTCGGTGCCGATAGGGAAGGTGCCGAAGCGCTGCAGACCGTAGTAGTTGACAAAGCCCCTTTCGCTCAGATTTTTGATTGCTTCGCTAACAATCGCCTGAGCTCCTTCGAGAATGAGTTTGGATTCCAGCGGGACAGGGTAATGGAAATCGCAATCCCGTAAGGTAATAACAAACTCGTTGCCAGTCAACTCGCCAAGCTGTAACGGATGCGGTCGGTATTCGAAGTTCCCAATATGTGCGTTTCTTAACGTCCGGCCAGCTGCGATCATGGCGTTGACAAGTACACGATCTACACTGACTCGTTGAACGGTGACTGCACGTCGATCCTTGGTTCCTGCGAACTGGAAAGACCTAGGATTCATCCGTACTTGCTTTGACAACCATGAGATCCCCTCCATGGTGTCCTTGTTCTCCTTGTAGAGAGAAAAATGTAGATACTTGCCGCCGAGGTCTTCCCAACTGGGTTTGCCTTTGGCACCACTAGAAGCTTGCGTACTTGAACGATCATCATTGCGTCGACCGTTGGCTCGAGCACTGCCTCGGGTATTTCCTCGGTGGTTGCCACGGTCGTTATTTCGCGGATTGGTATTCATAGGTGTTCTAGCGTAAAAAGTGGGGTTCGCAGCCATCGCTGTGATCATCATGGCGCCATCATTGTCGGTCATTGTTTCAAGTCGAGAATTGAACATTCTTCTGATGTCTTGATGTATATTAGTGCGTATCTGGCGATCGATGACTCCTGACGTGACCATGCCATAGTCCCTTGTTTTGCGATTTGGCGAATCGACAATGCGGTCGTACAGAGCGATTATCTTGTCAACGACATCGGAACTGAAGTAGGATAGCAGAGTATTCTTGTCCTCGGGCTGAAGCTGTATCAAGGTCAGTAAGACATCACGTTGAGTTGCTTGACTACTAACTTGAAAGCTGCTACTGGGCGCACTGCCAGCAAAAGCTTGCCATGATGCTTGGGTGCTCGCTTTTGGCACTTGCTCTGAAGTCGGCTGATTAGGTTCGGGCACATCTGCAGTCTCTTCTGGCTTGATGTCTTCCATCTTGGTAAAGTCCTCCCGCTGCACTCCGGCCGCTGCATCCTCTTCGGCCTTGCGCTTCTTGGTCTCGTCCTCTTTTTCCTTGTCGAACTCTACCCACCCTTGACTTGTTTGCCTAATGTGTACTTTCTCTTTCCGACGAAACGACTTCTCTTGTTTCGGCTCTGGCTTATTGCCATCTAGGTCTTGCATACTTAGAGGAATAGAAGGTGCTGGAGGCGGAATGCGCTTGTGTGGTGAGATTTTCTCGTGATCGTCAACAGGAGGAGCAGGTGCTAGCTCATATTTATTGAAGTCTTGCATACTCTGGGGTATGGCCTGCGGTGCTTCGGTCATTGATAGATCCTCTTTTAGCTTGGTGGTAGGCTGCTCTGGTTTGAAAGTGTCTGGATGTGGAAAGGTTTGCTTCTTGTCGTTGGATTTAGGTGTAGGCGCTGGCCCAGGTCGCTCTTGCTCGGTGTTAGCTTGTGTCGCGATAATTGCTGGAATCTCTGTTTTGCGCTTCATAGTATCCGCTGATGATACCTGGCCGGAATGTTTCGACGGCCCGGTGTTTGTGGATGGCTTCCGAGGAGCTTTGAGATTGTCGAGGTGGACAACTTCACCAGAAGGCAGGATCTCGTTGACGAGGAAGTCGGTGTATCTGTCTAGGTTAGATAGGTAATCAATGGTAGCGATCGAGAAGTCGTACCTCTTCTTCAGAATGCCACTGAAGCCAAGCAGATCAGGACTGACAAACTCGGTAATGCCGCAGGCAGCCTCCTTGCTGTAGTGATCATCTAGCGCATTTACTGCATCCGTCATTGCTGATAGTGATTCCGACACGTTCGTAACCCGTTTGCTGAGCAAACCGCCTGGGGCTTCTGAGTGGTCGTGCGACTCCTCTACCTGGTATTCTGGCATAGCAAATGGGCGTTCGGAGTTGTGGGCAGCTTTTAGAGTATTTAGTGTAGTAGGTGTTTCGGATGAGGTAGGCAATTCCGCAGAGCTTATGATGGTCGGTTTGCTGAGCTGATCGTTTGTCGTAGCTAGGTGATCGTAAGGAATGCCTGCCATGACCAGTGGAAGAGATGGTGCTTCCGTGACGGTATCTGCGACTTCCACGTGGAAGGCAGGCTCTTCAAGCTTTAGCTTCTTGCGAGGCGAGGTAGGAAGCTCTGGCTCATCCATCGTAGGTGAGTGAGTGCGCTTCATATGGTTGATGTGAGCGGCACCTTGACTTCATCCCACCAAATGCAGTCGCAAATTCACTGGAGCTGTGAGCCCAAATTCACTCACCTAGTGGTTCAAGCGAACAGCGGGTGGCAGAGGTGAGGAGTTCTAGCGTGGCATTAAGGATCTTCTTGCATGTAGTATAACCCTCTGTCCGAGACCCTTCGTTTTCCCACTCATACTACTTTTACCTTGTGAGGAGCTGGGCCATCAAGAAGGCCTTCGCTCATGATTTGAGCCCTGCATTGCACATGGCGGAGGCAAAAGTCATTGAGTTGCCTTCGGGTACCTCATTCGCGCAATTTTTGATGCTCTTCCTAATTTTCATTTTAGAGACGCTTTCTTTTCATCAATCTCGTCGCTTTATGCGTTGATTTGGAGAAGAGACCTTAGTTCATAACTTCAAATTGGCCTGTTATCCCTGGAGCCTGGATAAGATAGTCGTACTACACGCGTATTTCGTAGCTTGGTGCTAATATAAAGCATTAACCAGGATGCTGGCTTGAAAACGGCTACGTACCCTTGTCATTTGCATCACCATGCTGCATCACGCCGCCATCATAGCTTGACACTTTCCGGCCTTACACAACACACTTCAAGGCATCTAGTTCCCTGGCCTCCTATCCAAATCTTACCGAGGCCCCAGATCATCAGACCCTGTATCAGGCAATCTCTCTTCCACTGCATCTTCCGGACGGACCTTTGATTGCTACTGAGGCGATGCAAACCTCACGATATCTTGTGGACGCCTGCGCCGGACGATGCCAATGCGTCTCCGATCTCACGAGAATTCCTACGAACATGGCGTCTATAAGAGATGATGGCACAGCCTTGAATCTCGCAGAAATCCTCTTCTCAATAAACAGCTACCTCTTGCCTCCATCAAGAGCTTCACAAAGAACAAGATCGCGAAGCTTGAATTGAAAGAACCATGCCTACATCAACACCCCAGAACCCAAAAGATCTACCAAAACCACCCCCACGATACATGAGTCCATCCGGTCCACCGCCAAACATACCTTTACCACCGCTCCCCCCGCCCAACCCGCCTAACCCGCCTAACCCGCCTAATCAACCCAATCGATAATGGAAGGGTTGAACTCAGACTCGGCTCTGGCTGGGCAATAGAGTGCCATGAGAGTGCGGCTTATGATAAAGCTTCAAGAGTTCTGAGGGATAGGGATCTTTGGCGGAAAACGAAGGCGTAAGATTTGTGGTCTGGGGTCACGGGCTAGGGGCAAGAGACGCAAGAACAACTGATACAATTGAGGCTTGATTTTCTGCTCCATGGTTCCGCGAGGGTCCGAAAGAGCAGGCTTGAGGCAGTTCCACAATGCCCTCGCCTCCAATAAGTTGGCATTGGCAAGCAGCGATATTCCAGATAGCCTACAATGACACCTGAGCAATGTTACACAGATCTTCGAGCATCGCACCTTCCTCGTCCTGGGACACTTCCATGCGTCCATATGCACTGACAATGCTCTCTCACATTCACAGCATAGTGTTCCAACACGAAAGCCCGCGGCATACCTCTCACAATGAGACTTTCATCACGAAAGGGGGCTTCGCTTCGAGAAGAATTACGTCTACACTCCTACTACATCCGTGACACCCTCGTCCCACGCCTCGCCAAGGAACCCAAGCTAAACCAATCTGACTTTCTCTGCCTACAATCCATCTTCAAAACCCTCGATGCAGTCCCAATGACACTGGACCTCCTCCGCTATTCCCGTATCGAAAAAGCGCTAATGCTCATGGCAGCCACAAGGAATGTTTGCTGGCCAATGGATGTACTGGTTCATGCAGGAGACTTGATCACAAAATGGGAAAACGAGCTGGGACCGTTGAAATACCTCAGAGCTGATCTCTACGGTCCAGGAGGGAGAATGGAGGGAGTGAGGAAGATGAGCTGGAAAGATGGACGTGTACCGGACGATGTACGGCAAATCCCAATACACCTGCGTTGTTTGAATAACAATACCACAGGAGTCGAAATCAGCTTGGTCTGTTGAGGGAGCACCGAAGCCATCTCGAGCACACGCCTTCGGTCACCTCGGCTTTGAGGTCGGCGAGTACGTCCTCCCTCACTATGATCCCTATGAAGCCCTTACCTGACATCCTGAACAGCTGGTGGCTCAAGCCTGCAGCTGCGTACCGCGACGGCATCGTCGACGAGACCTCTCACGGCATCACCGCCAACGAAAACGGCGCCTACGCCATCGTCCTGACAGGCAGCTGCGAGATAGATCTCGGGCGAGACGGTGAGATCAGATACAAAGCCGCGGTGAGCGATCCTGGGGTGTTCAGGCTCACGAAGACGATGCTGCGCGCAGATCCAGAAGAGAAAGTCGTGCGAGTGCTCAGAAGCTGGAAATTGAGGAGCAAGATTGCGCCAAAGGCTGGATTGAGATATGATGGCCTGCACGTTTCCCGTCCCTCCAAGGGGAGCCCCACTAACACCAGAGATTGCCACAGCTACCGCGTCCTCTCCTTCTCCGTCCACCTCTCTCAACCCAACACCTGGCAAACAGCATTCACCCTCTCCCGCCTCCCAACCCAACTCTCCCTCCTTCACGCCCTCCACATCCCCACCTCGGACCAACTCGACGACTGGAAAGACTACCAGCGACTCAAGCTCGTCGACCGCGGCGAAGATTTTGAAATGCTACGGGATATGCTCGCGCAACGGGGAGGAGCGGGTGAAGAGGTGGGAGATGGTGGAGGTCTGAACGATGAAAGACACGGCAGTGTGGACAGTGGATATTTTTCGAGGAGGAGTTCAAAGGCTATCAGTATTGGCGGTGGTGGTAGGAGGGACTCGATCCTCATAGAAGAGATGGGGGAGACGGTTAAGGGGGGAGATAACAAGGAAGACGATGAGGGGGCCGAAGAGGCAGATGACGAGGGAGTGGGTCTGGAAGACCTCGAAGAAGTAGAGGAGGAGGAAGAGGAAGAGGAGAACGACAGGAAAGGAAAAGTTCTCAACAGCAACGGCGACGAAGACGGGGCCAAAAATGAGCGCACAGCACACCCCAATGCCACCCGGACACCGACGCCCGAGCACCTCAGCCACGCCTTCCCACAACCCCGCATCGGCACTCGCTTCGTCTCGCCCCGGAAGCCTGCGGCTTGAGGCGATGGCGGCCAGACCGAGACATTCGGGGGCGGGGATATCAGACGCATGGGGGGAGTGATGGGATAAAGGTTGGATGGCATGATAGCCCGGATCATTGTTAGAGGCGGCGTTGTTGGTGTTGGCTTTGATGGAGAGAGGGTCTGTCTTGATATCGCATAGCGCGATTGTGTTCGATGGAGGTGGAAGGGAGAGCACTGTCTATTGGTTAGCGTCGAGAGCACATTCTATTAATTACTTCATCAGGGCACTGGCTGTTAATCAGAATTAAGAGCACATCCTATTAATTACTTCATCAGAGCACTGTCTATTAATCAGAGTTAAGAGCACATTCCACTAACCACTCCATCAGCACTGTTAAGAGCACATTCCACTAACTACTTCATCAGGGCACTGTCTATTAATCAGAGTTAAGAGCACATTCTATTAATTACTTCATCAGAGCACTGTCTATTAAGAGCACATTCCATTAATTACTTCATCAGAGCACCGTCTATTGAGTTAAGAACACAATCCATCCATCAAAGCTTTTCTTTCCCATGTGCACAAGCTATCTACCTACCACACTCTGAAGTATCGACCAGAATTCAACGCCACATCATGACACCCTTCCCCTCTCTCAGAGAAGCAAACCAAACACAAGCCAAACCAAGCCAAGCCAATCGAAGCCCCGACTCCAACAACCTTCACTCCCCAACGACATCGCCACCAATCTCATCTTCGACCTCCGCAGCCGCGGCAGCCTCCTCGGTCCCTTTGCTCGGCACCTGCTTGCCGATCTCACCCGCGCCGTACCTAACACACCGCACCGCCATCAGCACCTCGCCGTCCGGAACGATGTAAGGAGGAGGGATGGAGCACCGACCAAGAAATGACGGCGATGCCCGCAAAAGCGCTCAGACAGCTGCAAACCAAAGCCACGATGCCCTTGGCCGTGAACCCGGCCGGCAGGGGGCGGGGGGGCTCCGGGGCGCCGGTCAGGTCGAGCGGGTCGACGGCGTTGCCGGCCGCGTTGCCGACGGTGGGGATGTTCTGGGCGGTGCAGACGTCGAGGTGGGAGGGGGGGATGGAGAGGGTGGTTTGGAGGAGGGCGGGGGCTTCGATCATGGTGGCGATGAGGCCGGAGGCGAGGTGCCATTCGATGTGGCAGTGGAAGAACCAGATGCGTGCAAGGTGTTGGGTTAGCTGGGGGGTTGGTAGGAGGTGGGAAGGGGGAGGGGGAAGGGAGACTTATCAGGATTGTCCGCTCTGAACCTTAGGACGATGTTTCCCATCGGCCGCACCATAAAAGTATCCCGCCTCATTGGCACCGCTGCGAATGTCTCGTTGCCAACGTATTTCCCAGCATCTTTGTCTGAGCGTGCGGCGGCTTGGAAAGCGTGGCCGTGGAGATGGAAGGGGTGTTTGCCTGTGTCGTTGTTGTTGAGGATGATCTCTATAACGTCGTTATGCTCTAGGATGTAGGGATTGGAGTTGATGCCATAGATGGTGGCGTTGTTCGCGAGGTCGCCAGCGGAGAGAGCAGTGTAGAGGGTTGGGACTTTGGGGCGGACATAGGTTATATCGTTGAAGAATGCACTAGGATAGCAAGTCAGTTGCGGTATACCTCGTTGGAAACGGAGAATGCATACTAATTGGCTCCGTCCCCTAGGTTGTCCATCTTCAGGTCAAGGTTGAAAGAGTAGTCGACTGGGCCGAGGAGCTCTTCACCGTCTGTTGGAATTAGCGTGAAGTCGTCGAACTCGTTGAATGTGTCAAGAAGAGCAGGCGTGGGCAAAGGTGCTGTATCGTCGTAGACGAGCCAGCCAGTGCCGTTTGGATTGAGGGATGCAGGAACCGTGTCGAACAAACTCTTTATGGCAGTCAGTCCTGAGCCCGGTCATAAGCTACTTAATGCTTACCTGATCCATGCTTCCAACGTAGGCGTAGTTGGTAGAGGTATCGTTCTTCATTGTGACGAGAACGCTGTAACGCTGTGCTGCAGTGATATAGATCAAGTCGGCTTCGGCAGCCTCGGTATAGATGCCGTCAACTTCCACGATCGTCATAGTGTGGCCTTCGAACCAGAAGTATTGACCGGCAAAGGCGCCTACGTTGATAATGCGGAACATGTAAGTCTTTCCAGGCTCGATTGGCGTTGTGAGGTTGTAGGTGTCATTCATGAGGGCAGATTTTGGTATTGGCTCAGCTCCCGTTGGGTTGGTCACACTGATAAAACTCTTCATGAGCTTCGGTATTTCGTCGTGATACCAGTCTGACACGGTCAACACCATCTCCTCATCGTACTGCCCCTTGTAAGGAGAATTGGGATCATTGACGATCAACGGTCCACGAAGACCATCAGGATACTGGGCAGTCTCGTGCGAGTGATACCAGTATGTACCTGGCTGATCAATCTTCAGAATCGTTAGCGTTAGCATTCATGGTCGTGTTGGAATGACTTACCGTGAAGTTGTACGTGAACGATCCTCCTGGTTGAATGGGACACTGGCTCACGCCGGTAACACCATCCATTTCCGTAGACCCATTCTGGTAAATACCGTGGAAGTGCAGACTCGTGGACTCGTTGCCGAGTTGGTTGAGTACATTGACCACAACGCGGTCTCCCACAGTTGCAGTGATGTATGGTACAGGCCATTGGCCATTGATTCCGATGAGCGGTCGGTTGAGAAGGCCATCAGGGTTGGCGGTGACCCAAGTGATGTTGAAGTCGTATGTGACTGTGGCCGCGTGGGCTAGCCATCCAAAGCAGAGGAGAAGAATGCTAGACGAAGAGAACATGACGAGATTTGGGATTTGAGGAGCGAGTGGATTTGATGCTCACAGTAGCTGTAGATGCAGAGAGGAAGGCTTGTTAATTACAAGCCGACTCCCAGTGCTCGTGATGCTTTCAAGCCCAAGGTACTATTCGCTCCCTTAACTTCTCCTGCTGATTATCTGCGTTCAAAGATGTTATCAAAAGATCTGATAAGATGGGAATTGTCGATCTGATAATCTTTCGTTAGCGTGGATCCTGAATCCGTATTCGTTACAACGTTCTGACGTGAGAGATGACGATCCTGCTCGAGTTTTGAGGGATCGGCGCTCGTGGAAGAGCTGGATTGCGCCTTCGGAGCCCGGCAAAGATGACAAATGGCCGTGACCAAGGGATACTGAAGCGGTGAAGCTTTCCTGCCAAAGTGCAGAAGCTCGGAGGTGGTGTGATGATGGGACGGCAGAGTCTTGGTCCTGCAGTCTAGCAAGGTGTCAGGCGGATCAGGTAAAGAAATGTCTGCGGGGTGCAGCCAATGGTTGGAGGACAAGACACGGACTGGCATTGATGGCTCCAAGGGTTCGAAATTTTGGCACCCACTTTCTGTTTCGAGACGCCAAGTCGAGCCAGCTGCAATTAAATTACCAGCTGTATGACGAGTTAGAACTGTATGTCTGGGCCCAATGGTCAACCGGGTCGATTTCTTGGCCGAGGGTCAATCGGAAGGGAAAAGGATAGTAGAGTATAGAGGATAGTTTAGCGAAGGCGAAGGCGAAGGCGAAGGCCTCTGTAGAGTGGAGATTGTAGCCCGGGTTTTTCAGGCGAGTAGACAGTGATAGTCAGAAGAATGTCTCGTGCTGATGATTAAGGAAATCATAGACAGCAGAAGTCAGAGAGAGAGAGAGAGCCAATCACAGCGAAGGTTCACGTCGGGTGATCTTGCCCCTACGCTAAGTTGAGTGGGATAAAGAAATAAGTCAAGAGTTCAATTGAAGGGAATTTAGGAGAGTGGGACATTCCGTCACACTTAACTTACCGGCCCGGATTCTATTTCGATTGCGTGAACACACACCGACATCGGAAATCAGCAGTCATCACCCTCCAACCCCACACACAATTACTTCAGCTTAACAACAACAACACAACACAGGGACTTGAGGCCGAAAGGAATTAAAGAAAAAAGAAAGAAAAAGAAAGAGCCAATCAAACCCATCTTCCAAGCTGGGGCTAATTCATCTCCGAGTCATTGTGGGGGTTATCGCGCTAAGAAGCGGATCTGATAAAAATTTGGCTGCTGCTTGCCCTTATCAATCTGATCTGATAAAAACCTGCCCTACCGACTCTCTTCTCCCGTCACACATTCCTCCTGCAAAGGCCAAAGAGTGTGTCAGATTGAAAGAAAATCCTCTCCATACCTTATTCCGAGTACTTCCAAGTCCATTGACCGGTCGCAATCTTTCACCATGACGGTCAACGTATTTGCTGTCCCGAGTAAGCCCCCCACTGCTCTCAGGTCCTGGAAAATCGAGGCAATGCTGATGCTGTTTGACATTACCAGTCTTCTTCATCTGTTTCCGTGAGACTCTGGAGACCAGCATTATTGTCTCGGTTCTGTTGGCCTTCCTGAAGCAAACTCTGGGCCATGACAGTGATCCCGTCACTTACAAGAGACTCAGGCGTCAGGTAAGTCTTTGCCATAGTCGCTGTCCTGCTTCACTTGCCTTGATCCTAGCTGATCCGAACTCAGGTATGGCTTGGCACGATCCTGGGTCTAGTCATTTGCATCGTCGTTGGCGCTGGCCTGATTGGAGCCTTCTACGGCCTGGGCAAAGACAAGTGGTCAGGCACCGAGGACATCTGGGAGGGATCTTTCAGCATCTTCGCATCCCTCGTCATCTCCATCATGGGTGCTGCCCTTCTCCGCGTGTCCAAACTCCAGGACAAGTGGCGTGTCAAGCTCGCCAAAGCGCTCGAAGTCAAGGACAGCACCAAGCGACGTGGCACTCTCCGAGTCCGCTTCAAGCTCTGGTGTGAGAAGTACGCTTTGTTCATCTTGCCCTTCATCACCGTTCTTCGTGAAGGTCTCGAGGCTGTGGTCTTCATTGGAGGCGTGAGCCTGGGTCTTCCTGCTGTCTCCTTTCCCCTGCCAGTGGTCACTGGCATCGGGTCTGGTTGCTTGGTCGGATACTTCATCTATAGGTAAGTCGGCACACAGCGTGACATTCAATAGGAAGTAACTGATCGGATCCAGGGGAGGCAACTTCGCTCCGATTCAGACCTTCCTGATCATCTCAACTTGCTTCTTATACCTGGTCGCTGCCGGCCTGTTCTCCAAAGCTGTCTGGGACTTCCAGATGCACAAGGTAAGCCTCGGTATCCGCTCATTGATACAAAGTAATCCTGGGGCTAACCAATCCCTAGTGGAATTCGCTCACTGGAGGTGACGCAGCGGGGACTGGGTCTGGTCCAGGAAGCTACGATATTCGTCAAAGCGTCTGGCATGTCAACGTCAGTAATCCTAGTCGCGAATCATGACCTTCGATCAAATTCACGTCGCTGACAAAAGAAAATAGTGCTGCAATGCCGAGGTTAACGGTGGCGGAGGATGGGGAATCTTCAACGCCCTCTTCGGTTGGGAAAACAGTGCAACTTACGGCTCTGTCCTCTCGTACAACTTCTATTGGATTGCAGTCATCATCGCCTTCCTCGCAATGCGATATAATGAGAAAGAAGGTCACTGGCCATTGATGAAGCCCAAAACTGCCTCCTCCGAAGAGAAGGTGAGCGATAGCAGTAGCGAAGAAGGAGTTGGCATGGCATATCCCGCGAAGAGCGCCAATGCTGAAGATATCCTGACAAAAATGCGAAGTATGGGTTCATCGTCGCCTGCATGAACAGCGTGAACAGCGCTCCTCCATGACCACTGAGGGCTTTGCACTGTGTGGCCGGTGATTGTGGCGAAAATGGCGCTTTTGACAGCCATTCTCTGATCGAAGATGGCTGCTTCGTTCTGCAGCTCTCTTGGCCAGGTGGTGTTGTTCGGAAAAGCCATTAATGAGTGTATTTAAAAGCTGGCATAGCCGGCAAGAAGCTGGTGCATCATTCGTCATTCTTAGCCTGTCGACCTAGCTAGCTGGAGTAGTTGAATAGCTAGCATGCACGCATTCGCATAGTATTGAAGGAAGGTAGTAACAGTGAAGATCCTATAGTGCTCTAGCTCGGGGTGTAGGTGATGGGGTTTACTTCGAGGATTGATGAGGGACGAGGAATTCAAAACGGTACTCCGAGGTCAGCAAGAAATGCAGTCAATCTGATTGGTCAGCCCTGTAGGCTCACCAGTCGATCTTTCCGCCTCTTCAACTAAAGCTCTACAATCTTACATTATGGCTTGTTATTTCATCAATCTCTTCCCGGTCCGTGCTACTGGTGACAGGATGGCGTGGAGTGCGTTCGGCATCGCTCAGCTATTGCCCTATACTGCCGGAGTGCTCACCACCTATTCTCCTTAGTCCTTACAGCAAGGCCGACCACCGACTATCCTCACTCCCTGGCATCTTCTCCATGTCAGGGAGGCAACCGAGAAGTCCACTGTCGATCCGATAGCTCACAGTCACCATCATGCCTCAAGGCAGAAGGGTCGCAACACAAGCTCCAGCGCCCTTTTCCGGAGCGAACCCCTCTACCGTGGTCATCTCCAATGACGGCGACATCCTCATACAAATCAAAGACACTACCACGTGTACTGACCACTGCTATCGATGTTCGAGAGATGTGCTACACAGTGCCTCCGAATATTTCAACGTGCTGCTAGATCCTGTCAAATTCAGCGAAGGCATCGCTATCGAGGCGAGACTTCAGGACCTCACGAGGCAATACAATGATTCCGCAGCCATACCCGCATCAGAACTCCCGAAAGTCGTCGTTTCGGATGTAGGCGCTCTCCCCGAGGGTTGCATCTCAACCGGCACGGTCGTCAGGCTTTTCTTCAAGATTTTGCACGATCCTTCTACAAGCTGGCCAGTCCTACGCGCACATTCCGTCAATCTCATAGCACTACTTTCCATCGTGGCCGACAGGTTCGCTTGCTCAAATACTATCGCGGAATACTTGATACGGCAGGGATTGGAAATCACACTCCTCAAAGACCGGAAGTCCGCTACGACTCAAGAGATTGAGCTTGAGAATCGCCAAAGGTTGTTGGCCGGTTTGTTTTTCGGGTTTCCGGATTGGGTACGTCAATGTAGCGCGGCTCTGATCGTCGAGGCTTCAAAAAGGCAGAACAGTACCGAAGATGAAGAGCGGGAAGGAGAGGATGCTCTATGGTGGATTCTACCCGGTGGCGTCGAAGGTGCGTTACTGAGTGGAGCTTGACAGATGGCGCTGACCAGCGGACAGAAGAGCTTGCCTGTCGACGCAACTACGTCTTGGACACTCTGAGTTCCATTCAAAAACACTTTATCAACCTCTATATCTCCAAGCAGACTCAGTGCAGGCTCGGCTACAGTTCATCGCCTCAATGTGACGCATATCAACTGGGCGAGATTATTCGCTTCCTCTGTCGCAAAGGAAGAACACTACGGATTGAAAGCGCCTTTGACCCTGCGCCTGAAGAGCTCGAGCCTTACAATGGTAACCTCAACGATATCATAGCTAAGCTCAAGGAGTGCCCTTCGTATCAAATCGACGACAACCACACTCACTGCGGCGCACGCACTAGGTTGATGCCTGTTTTGGAGCGACTTCGCCCTTCTTTCCAGGTCGGCATATGTTCTGGATGTTGGAAGGAGGATAAGAGCAAGGAGAGCTGGCTAGAGAACCCCACAGGAGGTACATGGGCCAATGCAGGCGAAAGGTTCCATGGTAGGGGTTGTCGAGCTCATCGGGATACCAAGGCGATGTATACGGCAGTGAAGAGGGACTGGACGCCTGTATATGCACTTTGAATGCACGGAGCTGTACGGCCACCGCCTGAAGGCACATGAGCACTCATCTGCCTACTATTCAGGCGTTTGGTCGGAGCAAGCCGATG